TTAATAATTGTCTTCGCAATTTGTAAATATAATATTAATAATTGCAATGTTTGTGCGAAAAGCGTACAAAAATAAAATTATTAAAATTTTCATAATGTGTTTTTATTACTTCTCCAGTGTCGTGGGTGTGTCATACCCGTACGAACAATTTGTGAGTCCTCATCACCAATAGGCCGTGACCAGGTTTCCCAGAATCTCTCCTCTTGGTGAACGAATTGGTCAAAGTCAAAATCATTCATTTCAATTTGACCAGGAAGGCACTTTTGAAAGTCAAAAACAAAATAGTTAAATATTAAATATTTGATAATAATGTGAGTCACTAGTCCCTTACTCGGGTATACGACACCCGCGGGAAGAGTGGCGGTGGTGACAAGATATATTGTACTCTGCTGTCATGACATTTCGCTTACATCGTATTATTTACTGCCAGTTTCTAACAGCGGCGAATCAACTTTTAGCAAATCCCTATTAATGTTGTCGATCGACCTGAACCATCTCGTAACTAAGAGTCGCCTAGTACCTAACCCATTACCTGTACCGCTAGGTGTCACTCATAAGTTGATGAAGCCAGAATATCGTTGTCATGTATCATAGCTTTCTTATCCTTTCTATATATATATATAATATTATAAATCTGAAAGTGAGTTTGTTTGTTTGTTCCACCTTCACGCCGTAACTACTTAACCGATTGCTTTGAATTTTTGCAGACGTAAAGTTAGAAGTCCGGATTAAATAATAGGGTACTTTTTAACCCGGGAAAATTGATATTCCCGAGGAAAAACAAAAGTATTGGTATAGATGGCGCTGTGTGTATTGGTACATGTCACATAGGCTACTTTATGATGCGAGCGAAGCCGCGGATAAAAGCTAGTCTTCTTTATAAATGCAAAAAACTACTGCCACACTCGTTTTACTCAACTGCAATCATACCTAACGAAACCTCACAGCTAATCAATATTTTCTCACTTGGGAGGAGCAGCGCCGTGTCTTCACATTGCTCCGTGCTGGGACGAGGCCCGGACGGACGGGCCGGCACTGTAATGCGGGGCTGCGGATGAATTTGAAAAAATTCCAATAGTAGGTAATTTAATACATAATTTAACACTTTAATTCTAATGTAGACAATCTAGTTTCCTTATGGCATCGAGCATTTCTTTATTGAAACAAAGAGTTTCCTTTTCTTGTATAGAAGCATTAATTCTATGGATTGTCAGTATGCATATGTGAGCACCATGTTGGACTTTAAAATTTTTTATTTTTTTATTTTAGTAAGTTATTAGTATAATGCGTCAAGCGTGTCTTTGCATTGTTCTTACATATGCGTACAGTATTGGAATATGTATCAGAGACATTGTAGAACATACTTTTTTAAAAATAGTAACGAATGGAGTTTCTTGCTCGTTCTTCTCCATTCGAATCTACTTTTTGGAATGAGCACCTAGCTTCACCTAGTTTCACTGACGGACTGACTGACGGACTATTATTTATTTTGTATTTGTTGACGTTTCAAAAGTACCAAACCATGGTTTAAACTGTCAAATACCAAGCGGTCACCGGTGACCGCGACCTATTGTTCTTTAATTGTGTCTATAAAACCGGTACTCGACGAGTTAATTGAAATAAATGCTTTGACTTTGACTTTCGACTCCCGCGGCCCCGCGCGCACATGCGAGGAGACACTGGGGTGGTTTTAGCCTGTAGGAGTCCGGCACACCTCTCCGCCTTTCCCCAGGCGGAGGCAGTCCATGAGGATTTCCCCCCATTAAAAAAAAGCCTGGCTCACGATAGTTATTATGAGTAATATTTGTATTAAGTAACATTAGCAAAATGAAACAGGAAGAATTTTACAACGACTTTATTTTTAATCTTAAACTTATAATTAACATACACAACTGCGTATATTATACACTTATATACACCGTGAAATCTATTTAGTTTCCGTCCCGAAGTAAAATGGTTCTGTCTCGGTAATACAATAGTTTTACAAACAAATAAAATCAACTGGTGAACCATTGCAAGAAGCAAACTTCGACAGCGCATACGAACACACAGTACCTATATTAAGGGCCGCCACCTATATCAGTTCTTCCCATCCGTCCATGAGCGGCTGGAGAGGACATGGTTGGAGGTGGATCACTGTGTTGCCCAGTTTCTTACTGGCCACGGCAACATTAAAAGCAAATTGTTCTCATTTACTCGTTGGCCGAGTGGTCGCAAGTGCAACTGAAGGGCAAGGGGTCTTGAGTTCGATTCCCGGGTCGGGCAAAGTATTACTGGGTTGTGAAAATACTCAGTAGTAGCATGGAGTCTGGAATTATGCCCGGTATATGACAATAGGCTCACCCCCTATTACATGGGACTGATAACATAAATAGTGGAAAGTGGGTGTTACATTGTACAGTGGCTTTAAGTGACGTAGTGTGCACCTCTGCCTACCCCTTCGGGGATAAAAGGCGTGATGTTATGTATGTTCTCATTTAAACTTGTTGGTGCCAATGTTGCAATACGAGCAGTCGGCCCATCACATACTCTGGGAGTGTGATCTCTGGCAATATGAACGTAACACTATGTTAGATAATTTAATTGTTTTGTCAGGTGTAGCTTATTATACGGACCTTGTGGAATCTAGAACAAATTTCCGTGCGTTTAGGCGTTTTTGCCATTCCTATTATTGGAAGCAAGTATAACAGCTCACACATAGGACCCACTTAGTTTTTAGTCAAATTTCCGTGGTAGGTACTTGGCGACTGGGCTTCACTCAGTTGTACAGTCTCTTCTTTGTGCCTTTAGGCTTAATTCACTCTGTCTCCTGCAGTAATTCACCGAGGGAAGTGGAAACTATCGTTTTTTTGTTCTTCTCTTATAATATCTTCTGATTCACTTCGTTGCGGGAACCAAGACAGTTACTCATGTCCCTGGGACGCGCCGGACTTCAATGTTCCGGTGTTTTCATGGTTGTATCTACTGTAGATCCTGGCTTACAGGAGTTGCAGCGGTTTTAGGAGGTTGTGGCGGGCTTGTCCCAAGAAAAAGTATCTACATTATCAAAACATCACGCCGTGTCATTGTCGAAGGTATTTGTCTATGGGTGACACGTGCGATGCGAGTAGTGACTACAGATGTACGTCTAGTGTCTCATGGACATACTTTTATGAATTTCATCTTCATTGTGTTTACTTTATACATCGAAAGTTTAAAGAATTTACTTAAGCATTGGCAGACTCAAAACAATTGAGAAAACTATTCTGACAACGTTTTCTTTTTATATAATATATTGTAGTATTTATGCAGTAGGTATAAGTATTTGTTTGGCAGTATATATTATATGGTATGTATATGTCTATGCAGATTTATAAAATATTTTATTAATATATTTATTCTATAGGTATTTATGTGTGTAGTATACATATTTCATAACAATTTTTTTTTTAATTGTGTTCTGGCTTCGCATCAACCATTTCATTTCTCTGCACTTCCCTATGGTTGACTGTAAGAGAATGCCTTATGGCATTAAGTCCGCCATTCACTGTTGTATATTGTGAAGAAGAAATAAAATAAATAAAATAAAAAAGTACTCCTTATGGCGAGTTGTTCTCGGGACGAAAACGACATAGATTTCACGGTGTATAATATCAGGATATACAGTTATATTCCAAACAGTGCCTTTAGCCAAACGCCACTTTAGCGCTTGTCTACAGAGAGAGTAGAAAACTAAATGTATGGGGATGACACTGACAAGTGTCAAAATTTACGTCAATCCTTACTTATATTATAAGTGAGTTTGTTTGTTTGTTCCGCTTTCACACCGTAACTACTAAAACGATTGCTTTGAATTTTTGCAGACGTAAAGTTAGAAGTCCGGATTAAATAATAGGGTACTTTTTATCCTGGAAAAATTTGATATTCTCGAGGGAAAACGAAATTATTGGTATAGATGGCGCTGTGTGTATTGATATATGTCACATAGACTACTTTTTATCCTTTTGTGACGCGAGCGAAGCTGCGGGTAAAAGCTAGTTCCATATAATTTGGTTTTCTATTCTACATGTAGACAAGCGCTAAATGGCATTTGGCTACAGCTGCTGGGTAGACTGAGGTAAACATATTATAATCAATTTTTTACAAGTTTTGTATCAATAGTGTGTGCAATATTTCATATTTTTTATAAGAACTGTCATTAAACATATTAAATTTACATACCACTCATTCAGTCATGTTTATGAGCTCCGATGTATCTCGAAACCAGTCGAGCCACACTCGAAATTTTTACAAAACTTGTATAATTGTGAATCGGGTAGTTAGATAATGAAAAAATATTAGACACGTATTCTTTAATTTTCTCGTATTAAGTTGCAATACTTAAATAAAATGGCGCTAAATTTAGAAGTGGGAGGTCGTTACGTCATAACGTGCTACAAAATGTGACACGCTGTGACGTCATGCGGTATTTCAAATGAATATATCGTCGATAGTATTTAATTTTGTGAGATATGAAAAAATACGTGTGTAATGTTTTAAATTAATGTACCAGACGGACATTGACATAAAATTTAGGAAACTACCCTATTGTATGTATGTTTGTTACTTAATCACGGTAGAATGGCTGAAGGGATCGAGATGATATTTGGATCAGGGGGCTTACTCTTGAATCCAATTCCGATTGGTCGACATTGGTATTGTAAAATTTCGTACTCTTGAGTTGCAATACTATAAGCCATTGTATCCGTATTGCAAGCATATTTAATGGACTCAGTGGTATTGAGTTTGGATATATATTCCATATTCTGAATGCTATTTTAATATCTACAAAAGTGGTTGTATAGTTTTGACATTGAATTATTATTGAGATTTTATTAGATTGAAATTGCATTGATATTAAGATTGGTTTCAAGAGTAAGCACCCAGGGGTAGATTGTAGTCTGCAATAACACATAGGCTACTTTTTATCCCACGGGAACGCGGGTGAAGCCGCTGGCAGAAGCTAGTTTATCATTTGTTATCTACGCGAGATCTGGTGCCCACAGTTTGAAGGTCCTGTCATATGAGCTGGTCGCTATGTACTTGTTGTCGTATGATATATCTGCGCTCATCACCTGTAACAAACATACATATTTATTATAATATATATTATTAGCGGACCCAACAGACGTTGTCCTGCATATCCACTTGAATGTATAAACAAAAATTCATTCAAATTAGTTCAGCCGTTTAGGATAAATAACGTAAACATCGACTGCAGCGCCATCTGCCGGGCTGATTTGTAAATCTAAACCATTCCCAGATCCCCTTGAACACACACAAAAAATTTCCTCAAAATCGGTCCAGTCGTTTGAGAGAAGTTCAGTGACATACACACTCACAGAAGACTTATAATCTTTATATATACATATGTATATTTACGACTGCCTCATTGGCCGAGTGGTCACAAGTGCGACTCGACAAGGAGTCTCGGGTTCGATTCCCGGGTCGGGCAAAGTATTACTTGGTTTTTCTCAGTAGTAGTACGGAGTCTAGAATTGTGCCCGGTATATGGCAATAGGCTCACCCCCTATTACATGGGACTCGTAACATAAATAGTAAAAAGTGAGGTTACATTGTACAGTGGCATAATGTACACCTCTGCCTACCCCTTCGGGAATAAAAAGGCGTGATGTTATGTTTATGTGGAGATCACATTAAAAAATTTAAACTACTTCAGAAATGTGTCATCCCTTAATCGGGTATATTACACCCACGTGAAGAATAACGGTGGTAAAACTGAAACATTTATTTTACATTGTCACCAGAATTAAACTGTAATATATTTTGCCAAAGCAATATATACCTTATTGTCATGTCCGGAGAGTGTGCGCAGTGGATGCCAGGCAGGGTTGGACCAGAGTTTGGCAGTCTTGTCGTATGATGATGTCAGGAGGAAGTGACCGTGGCTCTTCTGGTATCTGACATCTGAAAATTAATTTAACTCGTTGAGTACCGTCATTATAGACACAATGGGGATGATGACAGGGTATGAAAATTAAAAATATAATTAGTCCGTAAGTTAGGTAATAAAAAAATATTAGACACGTATTTTTTTATTTTGTCGTATAATAAAACAATACTTAGATAAAACGAATCAAAGTTAAGGAGTGGGGGCTAAAACGTCATTTCTTAGTATAAAATGTACTGAGAAGTGACGTCACGCGACATTTCAAATCAATATATCTTCGAAACTATTCGTTTCTGTGAGAAAATAAAAAATACGTGTCTAATGTTTTTAAATAATCTACCAGACGGACATTAAAATAAAAATTAGTCGTCTACCCTATTAAAGAACAATAGGTTGCGGTCACCGGTGTCCTCGCGGTGTTTGACAGTTTAAATTGAAATCTTTCTATATCATTTATTGTCATGCAAACTAAACATACATACATACATAACTTCACGCCTGTCTGTAGGCAGAGACTATGGAACGCCAATTACTACGATTCTTACATACCTCTTTCGCTTCATCAACAGTCATCAATCTTTTCATGCATGCTCGTCGGTTAAGGGTACTTTTAATTTGGCCCTTCTTTAATATATCGCCAATCTGCTCAGTACATGTCCGTCTAGGGCGCCCTCTACCGCCGGCCCCATTCATATCCGCTCTGTATACTTCCTTCGTTACTCTACTTTCATCCATCCTTTCTACATGTCCAAACCAGCGTAACATTCCCTTTTCAATCCTTGTCACTACATCATCTTTCACATTACATAACATCACGCCTTATCACCGAAGGGATAGGCAAAGGTGCACCATTACGGCACTTAATGCCACTGTACAATGTAACACCGACTTTTCACTATTTATGTTATAAGTCTTATGTAATAGGGGGTGAGCCTATTGCCATATGCCGGGCACAATGCCAGACTCCGTGATACTTTGCCCGACCCGGGAACCGAATCCAATACCCCTTGCTCGGCAGTAGCACTTGCGACCACTCACCCAACGAGGCAGTCACATCATCTTTCAATCCACACCTGTCTCTAATAACACTAATTTTCACTCGATATCTCAATTTTAGTCCACACATACTAGACTAGACATACATACATACTAGCAAACTAAACGTGTATACAAAATGTCAGCTCAATCGGTTGAAAATCTTCAAAATTCAGTTGCAATATTCCGCTTCACACATACATACATACACACTCTCATTGCAATTTATATTAAAGCTTTATAACGCACTTGTAACGCCTCTGGTGTTCCTGGTGTCCATGGACGACGGCGATTGCTTACCATCAGGTGATCCGTCTTTTTTTTTATGGGACAAGCCCGTCACAACCTCCCAAAACCGCTGCAACTCCTGTAAGCCAGGATCTACAGTAGATACAACCATGAAAACACCGGAACATTGAAGTCCGGCGCGTCCCAGGGACTTGAGTAACTGTCTTGGTTCCCGCAACGAAGTGAATCAGAAGATATTATAAGAGGAGAAGAAAAAAACGATAGTTTCCACTTCCCTCGGTGAATTACTGCAGGAGACAGAATGAATTAAGCCTAAAGGCACAAAGAAGAGACTGTACAACTGGGTGAAGCCCAGTCGACAAGCACCACGGAAATTTGACTAAAATCTAAGTGGGGTGATTGGGTGATCCGTCTGCTCGTTTACCGGCTTATACCATAAAGAAAACTAATACATACATACATACACCCACAAGCACACACCAAAATACTATACATTTTAATATAAATATTCTATGTATATACAATATACTATACATTTTAAGAATACCCTCTTACATTTTGCACTTACCCACTAATATATTATATACCTTAAGTACTTACCTATATTCCGAACAAATAAATATGTAAAAAAAAATGTTAACCAAAATGTAATTTATAATAAGCTGGTGACACCCCTAAAATTTGCAACGCCTGAAAAAGGCCGTTAAGCTGTGCCTGTTATTGCATAAGACCTGTATGTATTACCTTAACATGCAAATAAAGAGTTTGAGTTTGAGTTTGAATTTCAAAATGAATAACCCCCAATAAAAGATTACCTAACTTAAGAATCATACCCACTAAACTAATAAAGCAACTATATCTACTTACCACTCAACAGATGCGTGTGTGAAGGTATAGTATATAACGCTGAACGTCTCCTCAAATCCCAGATTTTTGTCTGTAAATTACATAAAAAAAATTAGTAAGATATTTTAGTCACCTGATGGTAAGTAATCGGCGCCGTCCATGGACACCCGGAACACCAGAGGTGTTACAAGTGCGTTACCGGCCTTTTGGGGATTAGGAGTTTGAGTATTGTGGGGGATTCGGGGATTGGGGAGAGGGTGGATGGTCACAAATCAAATAAATCAACAACGCTGCGCCATGGACAAAGCCAAGCCTACAACTTGAAGGAAGGGATAGGTTGCTATCTCCTACAATACATCAACAGCCTATAAGTACCCACTGCTGATCAAAGTCCTCTTCTCACACGGAGAAGGTTTGAGCATTAACCACCACGCTTGCTTAATGCGGGTGCGATTTCAAACTTATAATTAGAATTGCCGAGTGGTCGCAAGTGCGACTGCCGGGCAAGGGGCCTCGCATTCGATTGCCGGATCGGGCAGATTATTATTGGGTTTTTAAAAAAATCTCAGTAGTAGCACGGAGTCTGGAACTGTGCCCGGTATATGGCAATAGGCTCATCCCCTATTACATGGGACTCATAACATAAATAGTGAAAAGTGGGTGTTACATTGTACAGTGGCATTAAGTGCCGTAATGGACACTTCTGCCTACCTCTTAGGGGATAAAAGGCATGACGATGAAAATATTATTAGAAATTATAAGTATAGGTTTCCTCATGATGTTTTCCTTCACCGTTTGTCAGTGGCGTCTAGATAATCTTAGAAAGTATGTATAACTCGGAAAAAGTCACATTGGTACTTGCCGTTGGTAGGTTTCGAACGCGCACCCTCAAGGGAGTTCGAGGATTGTGAATACGGATGATGACATGGTATGAAAAGTAAAAATGTAATTAGTCCGTCAGTTAGGTAATGAAAAAATATTAGACGCGTATTTTTGTATTTTGTTGTATACTAAAATAATACTTAGATAAAACGAATCAAAGTATAGGAGTGGGGGCTAAAACGTCATTTCTACGTATAAAATGTACATAGAAGTGACGTCACGGGACATTTCAAATCAATATATCGTCGAAAGTATTCGTTTCTGTAAGAAAATAAAAAATACGTGGGTAATGTTTTGAAATAATCTACCAGACGGACATTGGAATAAAAATTAGTCATCTACCCTATTCTATATGTCGCGGGGAACCTAACGGGTAACCGGGGCTCCGGCTCGACGTGCAGGAGAAGGAACGGGGTGGTGTTTAGTCAGTAAGAGTCTGACACTCCCTCCCGCCTCACCCAGGCGGGAGCAGTCATTCGATGATTTTCCCCCCTTAAAAAAATCCTATTCTATATAAAAAAGATTGTATAGATACCTGATGGTCTGCGGCGGCGGTGGCGAGCTGGTGTCCGGCGGGGGCCCAGTCGGTGCCGAGGACGGGCCCCAGGTGGCCCTCCAGGAACATCACGCAGCGACCTGTCCGCAGGTCCCACACGCGACCGAAGGCGTCCATACCGCTGTGAAGGGGGGGGGGGGGAATGTGTTAAAAGGGGGATTCACATTGTAAGATTTATTTTTAACTAGCTATTCCCTCGGCTCTCTTTTATCATAGCGTGATGTTTTTAATTGGGCCGCGGTTACCTCACTCAAGCGACGAAGCACAACGCAGGCGTCGCTTTACGATGGTGTACTGCTCGTCGATGGTATCACTCCGGTCGAGCCAGCCCAGCAGTGTCGAGGCGTGGCGAACCCACATTTCCAAATGTACTAATCGTGAGATAATCGCGCACAAATAACCCCCCCAATATCCCCATTTAGCGCTTGTCTACATGTACAATAGAAAACTAAATTATATGGAATTGACGTAAATTTTGACACTCGTCAGTGCCCCATACATTTAGATTTCTACTCTCTCTGTAGACAAGCGCTAAAGTGGCGTTTGGCTAAAGGCACTGATCCCCAAAAAGCTGGTAACGACGCACTTGTAACACATCTCCAGGTGTCCATGGGCGATGCCGATTGCTTACCATCAGGTGATGCGTCTGCTCGTTTACCGGCGTATCACATAAAAAAGACATACTTACCCAGTAACAGCGAGTGACCCGTCTCCCTGGAAGGCGATGCTGTACACCGGCTTCGCGTGACCTTCCTGGTGCAATACCTCCGTCGCTGAAACCATACAGGCAAGGCATTGAAAACAGTATTCAAGTGTGGGCTCGCCATGCTTCAGCACTGCTGGGTCGGCTCGACCGGAGTGATACCACCAACAAGCTGAACACCATCGTGACACAACCACAGCGTTGTGTGCAGTCGTGTGAGTGAGGTTGCCGAAGGCCCAATTACACAACCGTATTCCTTTCTTTCGCAAAAACCACATATCATTCTCTTACAAAACCTCATATCATTCTCTTACAAAACCCCATACCATTTTCTTACAAAACCTCATATCATTCTCATACAAAACCTCATACCTTTCTCATACAAAACCTCATGTCATTCTCTTACAAAACCTAATATCATTTTCATACAAAACCTCATATCATTCTCTTACAAAACCTCATATCATTCTCTTACAAAACCTCATATCATTCTCTTACAAAACCTCATATCATTTTTTTTTACAAATCCTCATACCAATCTCTTACAAAACCTCGTATCATTCTCCCACAAAACCTCATATCATTCTCATACAAAACCTCATACCTTTCTCATACAAAACCTCATGTCATTCTCATACTAAACCTCATATCACTCTCATACAAAACCTCATATCAATCTCATACAAAACCCCATACCATTCTCTTACAAAACCCCATATCATTCCCTACAAAACCCCTTTTTTCTCACAAATAACCCATTCCATTCTGTCACAAAACCCTTTTTTTTATCACAAAACCCTATATTTTTTCATATAAAACCTCTTCATCTCTTGATAACTCACCACTCTCCAGATCCCATAACCTCCAGGAGTGGTCGAAGACAGTGGTGGCGAGGAACCGTCCGGACGGGTGGAACTCCAGCCTGGCCACGCGGGCGGGGCTGTGGCCGTCCAGGGAACATAGCGGAGACTCACTGCACATGGATACATATAATTAGACAAACACAATACTAAACTGCCTCGTTGGCCGAATTTTTATTTATTTATTTATTTATTCAAATAGGTATACCAACAGCTTCTGTATACATAGCATTAAGTGATTTGAAAGTAACATTAAGTATTCAGGCTTATACAGTCGCCAATTATAGGTTAACCAACATCCAATTACTTAATTGATAAAAAAAAACTATAAATACAAAAATGAACGAGAACAATAGAGTTTTAGTTACTAAAAAAGAAACTACTACTAACGAAATAAACATTCTTATTTTAGTGAACAAAAATTAAAGACTTTTAAATAGAACTTTATGAACCTTGGTTGTAACAAAATTAAACATTTAAAAAAGAAAAGAAATAAAGCATGTTTCATAAAAATTTAAATGTTAATAAATATATTAAGCTAAGGAAGGATATGAACATTTTGTAAAAATGTATATAAAGAAATTAATTTAGAAAAATGGGATATGGACACTTACTACTAGTACGTACTCATCTAATATTTCTGATACATATACATAGTTACATAGTAAACTAAGTTGTGCGGTTTGGGGATTCCAGTATTCGGGTCTTAAAGACTTTTATGGTGTCATGATATATGTCAACATCTGGAGTGGACTTTGTAAAAGAATTAATCTCACGAGCGAGCCTATTGAGAGGTGAATTCACCCCTATATTTGTATTGGATGCTTTGGTATGAAACAAGTTTGATATGGGATATCTGGGCAATTTATGGGGCACTCGTAGTTGCACCCGTTCAATCAATTTTTCGCAGTCTAAGCCGAATGGTCGCAAGTGCGACTGCTGGCTAAGGGGTCTCGGCTTCGATTCCCGGGTCGGGCAAAATATTACTGGGTTTTTAAAAGAAAAGTCTCAGTAGCAGTAGTGGTGTCTGGAAATGTGCCCGGTATTAGGCAATAGGCTCACCCCCTATTACATGGGACTCATAACAAAACTGGGTGTTACATTGTACAGTGGCATTAAGTGCCGTAATGTGCACCTCTGCCTACCCCTTCGGTTCGGGGATAAACGCATGATGTTATGTTTGTAGTAGTATATGTAATAATTCACAGTTGCACAGCTGCATTTAAAGTAATTACCGTAGCATATTGACGTACGAATTAGAGTCATTAGCTTATAATATAAAAGACAGAAGACAGTGTAGTGTGTTTTCTGTGCCTATTGCTATGGAAACTACATAAATATACACATATTGAACACTCTACGTTGATTATCTCTTCTCTTAAAATAAAAAAAAAATAAAAACATATTTTTATGGACAAAAAGCTTCACATTACATATTATATGGCTCTGGACCCCACACTAGGATTCCCTGTGTCGTGAGGCCCAGTCTCTTTCAGTCAGCAAAACATTATAATACAAGAGCTTCGAGAGCTTCATCGACTTATTACATGTTATGTTGTATAATACTAGGATAGACGACTAATTTGTATGTCAATGTCCGTCTGGTAAATAATTTTAAAACATTACACACGTGTTTTTATTTTCTCACAGAAACAAATACCTTCGACGATATATTGATTTGAAATATCGCGTGACGTCACTTCTATGGACGTTTTATACGTAGAAATGACGTAGCTAGCTCTCATTCCTAAACTTCGATTCGTTTTATCTAAGTATTGTTTTCTTATACGACAAAATAAATAAATACGTGTCTAATATTTTTTCATTATCTAACTGACGGACTAATTAAATTTTTAATTTTCATACCCTGTCATCATCCGTATTACGATTTTTGGTACATACCTTTTAAAATTCCACAAATATACGGTACCATCGTACGCGCAGGTCGCCATTGTGCAGGCTTCAGAGACTCCCTCAGTCTCCTGCATAGCTACTGTAGTCTCTATAGACTCTGGGACCGGAGTCTCAGTCTCCATCGGAGTCTCGGCATCTGTTGCTAACTTCTCTTTATCTTCTGCTAACTAGAAGTGAGAAGAGAAGTTTTGTAATCTTTTAATAATCCTTACTAATATTATAAATCTGAAAGTGAGTTTGTTTGTTTGTTCCGCTTTCACGCCGTAACTACTAAACCGATTGCTTTGAATTTTTGCAGATGTATAGTTAAAAGTCCGGATTAAATAATAGGGTACTTTTTATCCCGAAAAAATTGATATTCCCGAGAGAAAACAAAAGTATTGGTATAGATGGCGCTGTGTGTATTGGTATATGTCACATTGGCTTTTTATCCTTTTGTAACGCGAGCGAAGCCGCGGGTAAAAGCTAGTGATATGAATGCGAAAGTTTGTGTGTTTGTCTGAATGTTTGTTACTCAATCACGTCAAAATGGCTGAAGGGATCGGAATAAAATTTGGAACAGGGGTACATTATGATCTGGAATAACGCATAGGCTACTTTTTATCGCATGAGATCGCGAGTGAACACGTTGGCAGAAGTTAGTACAGTTTGTTAGGAAAAATGTATGAAATATTTTTATTTTGAGATAGGTCCGCAGCAATACAAGTCCGCCGCGTGCCGGGGATGTTCGTCCCTGCCTGAGCGCGAGGCCGGCAGTCCCCCGAAGAGCGATTAATTTAATTTAATACGGGGGCGTCCATAAATTACGTGAGATGTTTAAGGGGGGGGGGGGGGGGGGAAGGGAGACTCAAATAACATCTAATCTTACGTTGGAGAAAGTGGGAAAGGGAAGATCTCTATTTGTCCTGCCTGTATGTATGTATGTGTGTCCGCGACTATTTCGCGACTGACTTTATCGATTTTGATGCGATTTTCAGACCATTGATCATTGATCATTTAATTTTTGATAGCTACAGTGATTAGACAAAGTGACCTCTAGATAAATTTGCGGTTGATAAAATGGTAACGCCCACTATATTACCTAAAGGTATACGACACCCAGGGGAAGAGCCGCGGTGGTGATATATTTATTCTACTCTGACGTTACTACGATTGATTTTTGCTCACAATTTGATACTTTTATTTGTATTGTAACTTTCGTGAGACATTCAAAATAAATTATTATGTTTTCGGCTTACTCACGTAATAATTTAACGAGGAACTCGACTAGTTTCAAGCCATGCTAGAGGCTCATATTCTTGACCAGTATTTCGCGACCCGCGACGAGTCGACTGTCGCGCTGCTACTACCAGTAGCAATCAAATTACTACGTGAGTAAGCCGAAAACATAATAATTTATTGATACTTTTACTTACTTTTCTTTCAAAATGATCAGGCATTGCGGCCGTGGGATGGAAGGCGGCCCCGCTGACGTTACACTTGTGACCCTTCAGTACTTGCAGCGCTGTACACTCGGGGACCGACCATACTTTGGATAGACCTGACCTGGAATGAAAGGGGTCAGTGGTCAGATGTCAGGTGTAACATGTAAGATGTCAGAGGTCAGGTGTCCAGTGTTCAGTCTGGAGAAACGTGTCAAGTGTTATGTGTCAGATGTAACATGTCAAGAGTACGGTATCGGGAGTAAATGTCAAGTGATAGCTGTCAGGGGTCAGGTGTCAGATGTCAGGGTTCATAAATCAGAGGTCAGGTGTTAGCTATCAGAAAGAAAGAAAGAATAAAACATTTTTTCATCCTTATAGTAGCAGTAGCTCAACCCCCGCCTGCCCGGCGGCCGGTTGACCAGCGCGTGCGACGAGTGCAGGAGAGGGTGCGGGCGCGCGGGGGTGTGCAGCGTGCTCGTAGCCGCCCGGCGCGAGCGGTCTGATAAGGATGGCAACAGCGTATGACGGGGCGTTCAAGAACGAGACAACACACCCCAGCAGAACTCGTCGCACGCGCCGCCCGGCCGCCAGTAGCCCCGTCAACCCCTGCCTGCCCGGACGTTAGTTTCAATGTCGGGGATACGCGCGCGCTACGTAAAAATGCCTCCCAGGCGACGAAATTGAAATCAGAACTCGAAGAGGAAGTGTTAGAGTTCTTTCGGTGTCATCCTCTTGCGAGCACAAGGGATACCGCCGGAGTGTACGATGATAGAGACAATAACTTGTGGCGTCTTTTAAATCAAACGCGAAACAAAGTAAAAGTGAAACGGACACATTAAATAATATGATATGACATGTTTGGAAGCGTGCCTTCATTTGGGTGCAACGCGAAGGTGGACTTGTGCAACAGTTTTGTAGATAAGTAGGTAGAGAGTGTGTAAATAACTGTAAAAGTGTGTAAAAAACTGTTTTAAGTGTGATGGGAAGTTTATAATCTTATTTACCTACATCAGCTTTTAAGAAGATTGCCGTACCTGGTAAGTAATTGCACTTTTAAAACCCTTGTTAGCCTGCCTATTGAGTATCTAGTAGATTAGATAGTGACGAACTAGTCAGCTGATTTCCGTTTTCATTCTCAGTACACGTGGAAAGAGATAGCAATTGTTTTCATTGACTAAGCGACGCATCGCGCGTAATTTGTGAACCACATTATGCAGAATGTAGTCAATGTTTACTTAATTACTTTATGTAATTAACTGGTCCGGGGCACGAAATTTCTTCACAATTGTAATCTGTAAACATAACACTACCTCCCATTAAAGCCGTGGCTGATAATTATAGAGCACCTTATATATTTTTGTTATATATGTGTAGCAGGGAAGTTAGGGAGCTCCGTAACCGTAACCGAAACTATCGGATATTCGATATAAAAAATATCCGTAACCGTAACCGAATCCGAAATAAAAGTTTCGGATACTATCGGATAACGGCGTGACGTATAAACGAAACAATTATATTAGATATTTGTATTTTACTTTTGAAATTCCTTAAAATTTTAATATCCATAACCGAAATTATCCGAAACTAACGGATAAACCGAAATAATTTCATATCCGTACCCGTAACCGTATCCAGTATAATAATCATTTCTATATCCATATCCAATCCGTATCCGAAATTTCATATCCATAACATCCCTGGTGTGTAGTTCTGTGAAATTACGGTATTATAAAGGTGTTTCTACTCACCAGCTAGCTGTGATGAGCATCTTACTGTCGCTGCTGAATCTGCAAAAGCTTATAGGCCGCGTGTCGCCTATCTGGAAGGTTCAATTTTGTATATATATATTAATGTTATTATTATTACTACATATTCTTTAATCTGCCTCATTGATGACTACTGAGTTTAAAAAAAAATCTCAGTAGTAGCACGGAGTCTGGAATTGTGCCCGGTATATGGCAATAGGCTCACCCCCTATTACATGGGACTCATAACATAAATAGTGAAAAGTGGGTGTTACATTGTACAGTGGCATTAAGTAAGCACCTCTGCCTACCCTTTTGGGGATAAAAGGCATGCATAATTTATGTTCTTTAATAAATTCAATTTTTTTTATATTTATAAAGTGCCCACTGCTGAACAAAGCCTCTTCACATAGTTTAGCATTAACCACTACGCTTGCTCAATGCGGGTTGGCGATTACAAACTTATAATTAGACATTATAAGCCCAGGTTTCCTCACGATGTTTTCCTTCACCGTTTGTTAGTGGTGTCAGAATAATCTTAGAAAGTACATGTAACTCGGAAAGTATCCCATTAGTAGTTGAGAATGCTATGAATAAGCGTCTAACTTTTTTTTTTGACGTGGGAAAATCATCGAATGACTGCTCCCACCCGGGTGAGGCGGGAGGGAGTGTCAGACTCTTACTGACTAAAAACCACCCCGTTCCTACTCTCACACTTGGAGCCGGAGCCCCGGTAACCGGTTAAGTCTTCCGCGGCTCCGGCATCAGCTCTATTGGGCCCCATCTGTGGTGGTCTGATGGCTCATTGAGGCGCGCGCGGAATGCTCGGCGCCGTACGCTCGGGTCTGTTTCTGGTCGGACGGGGAGCCACCCATGCTCGCCGTCCGCAGGCCCGCGCTTACGGTGGCCGGAGATTTTTTTTTTATGGAATAGAAGGCAAACGACCCAACGTATTACCTGATGGTAAGCGATCAGCGCCGCCCATGGACACTCGCAACACCAGAGGTGTCACAGGTGCGTTGCCGGCCTTTTAAAAAGGAGTCCGCTATTTTCTTGAAGGTTTGAAGGTCGTATCGGTTCGGAAATACCGCCGACGACAGATCATTCCACAGTATTGCTGTGCGAGGCAGGAAGCTACGATACGATGCTATGATCTAGTCGGAATAAACGTCTGACCTGGCTGCAGTATATAGAGACGGCGGCGGCCTTCCGCTGCGACTCCTGTTTAGCTGCAGCGCGGACGCTGCCTGATAACTTCAAGTCTTCGCGGGCTTGGCACAATCTGCAATGGAAATTTTAAAATATCTTAATTTCAATGCCCGGCAAGGTGTCTCTCGATTCCCGGGTCGGGCAAAGTAAGACTGGGTTTTTAAAAAAATTCTCAGTAGTAGCACGGAGTCTGGAGTTGTGCCCGGTATATGGCGATAGGCTCACTCCCTATTACATGGGACTCATAACGTAAATAGTGAAAAGTGGGTGTTACATTGTACACTGGCATAATGTACACCTCTGCCTACCCCTTTGGGGATAAAAGGTCGGGCGGTGAGCCACCCATGCTCTATGTCCGCAGGCCCGCGCTTACGGTGGCCGGAGATCGTCCCGCGATCCCCGACGCCCGGTGTGTCCTTCGCGATGGCTGGGTTGCGAGGAGGCAGCGCTTCGCTGCCTCACGCGTCCCGCCTCCTCCTTAGCTAGCATGACTGCTTCGCAAAAGGAGGAGACGGCATCCCAGTCCCCCTCGCTCCGCATCATGGCCTGCACTAGGCCCGGACGCGAGAGGTCGCCATCGCCGATCACTTCCCTGAGGGCACGGCGGTGCTCAGCCCACGCAGGGCATTCCGCTACCGTATGTTCCACCGTGTCCTCAGGGCGGTCCTCGCAGTGATGACACCCGGGCGTTTCCTCCCGCCCCATCAGACACAGGTACCTCCCGAAGCTCCCATGTCCGGTGAGGACCTGCGTCAGGCGGTAGGTGAGGACGCCGTAGCGTCTCTCAAGCTAATCCTCAAAGAGGGGACTTACCGCTGCAATGGCAGCGAGCCCAGCTTGCGGCTGACTGGACTCGAGATAAGTGTTTGTTATTGGTTAAAAATATTGAATCTATCAGGTTTATTAATCCTTTCATAGGCGGTAGCGCGACTGAAAATAATTGGACAATATAACTTTTGATATCCTCACCTAAGTTTAGCTTTAGGTAGCGAGTACCTAGCGATCCACAGCCTCGCCTCCCTGAGCTCCGGCGGTCCCTCATGGTACCAGGTTCCCTCCCGTCCTCTGTCCCTTTCTATGCGAGCCTCTTCCTCTTCTAGCTTCTTGTGGATCGCGTCTTCTCCGAGACTGTAGAGTAAAAGAGTATTACATCATATACTAATACTAGCTACTTCGGCGCGGTTTCACACGCTCTGCTCAGCTCCTATTGGTCGTAGCGTGATGTTTTATAGCTTATAGCCATCCTCGATAAATGCGCTATCCAACACAAAAAGAATTATTCAAATCAGACTTGTAGTTACGAAGATTAGTGCGTTCAAACAAACAAATAAAAAAGCAAACTCCTCCGGTTTATATAATAGTATAAGAGTATAAATGCGAAAGTTAGTGTGTACGTTTATGGGCAGAAGTTATTCCATGAATAAAATGTATTTAGTAAATTGAATTCGTATTTTTTATTTAATATCTCTGATTCTGATGCAGCTAAATACTATTATTAGTCCGTGAAAACAGTTTTCTATGTGCAGTCAAAGGCTTAAGCAATATAAGGAGATTTTTTCTAGTATTTTCACACATCGGGTTACATTATCGAAATTTTCACACTGTTCCCTTTTTTCTCTCTTATCAATTACTAGCTTTTACCTGTGGCTTCGCTCGCGTCACAAAAGGATAAAAAGTAGCCTATGTGACATATATTAATAATACACACAGCGCCATCTATACCAATACTTTTGTTTTCCCTCGGGAATATCAATTTTTTCCGGGATAAAAAGTACCCTATTATTTATTCTGGACTTCTAACTTTACGTTTGCAAAAATTCAAAGCAATCGGTTAAGTAGTTACGGTGTGAAAGCGGAACAAACGAACAAACAAACTCACTTTCCGATTTATAATATTAGTAAGGATTAATAAAGATAATAAAGATAACCTATGTTCATCATCGATAATATAGGATTCTACTGGTAAAAGAATTTTGCAAATCGGCCCAGTAGTTTCGGAGAAATTCCATACAAACAAACAAACAAACAAAAAATCAAATCTTTCCTCTTTATTTATACTACTGTTAGTGTAGTATTATTACTCAATCATATACAAAACTAGTTTAGGTACTATTATAGTCTAGAATAACACATAGGCTACTTTTTATACCACAGGAACGCGGGTGAAGTCGCTGGCAGAAGATAATATGGACTATCTATACTTACTAGCTGAGGAGATCTCGCAGCCGCACTCGTCTCTCTGCCGGCCCCTCTCCGAACAGACACACCGGCTCACCGAGCTGACGGAGACTGCGACGCACCTGGAAATATAACGCATAAAGTTATAAATAAGTAATACATAAAGATATATTTATTGTTTCAATGAGCTCTATTCTACCAATCAAGTCCTTTCGTTTAATAGCCATAATGGAGGTAGTTGTGGAAACAATTAGATTATATTGTATGGTCATCAAGATTAAGAGTGTGTACCAAATAGAGTTTGTGTCTTTGTTTGTTACTCAATCACATCAAAACGACGTGGGTGAAGCCATGGGCAGAAGCTAGTATATACATCTATACTAATATTATAAAGAGGAAAGATTTGTACCTATTTTTGTATGTTTGTAATGAATAGGCTCAAAACGTACTGGGCCGATTTAAAAAATTCTTTCACCAATAGAATGCTACATTCTTGCAATTTCACATAGGCTACATTTCATTTTGAAAAATATTAAGGATCCTTGGTAAAATTTGAACAATGTAACCGAAGGTGTAAAAAATGAGTCTTAAAATGTCTTTCGTCGAATGCACTGCCGAAACTATTAGCGATAGAACATAATAATGTACAACAATATTGAAGAACATCATAATGTCTCCAAAAAACTCCCCAGTAGCATATGTCCAACTATTGTAGTTATGTCACTACAGCAATCCAAACTTCCAAAAATCAATAATTGTCTACCCCGTGTGAAGCCGGGACGGGCTGAAGTACATTATAAGTTCAATAAACACTTGTAAAGAATCCTTGAATCCATACTAACCTCGTCATCATCAGTGGACACATTGAGCTGTCGAGCCTTGCGTCTCCGTTCAAACTCCTCCAGCAGAGCCTTCTTGTCGCGAGACATCTCCTCTTCCAGCTCCATGTATTCTGCAGATATACATGACACACATAATTACATAACATCACGCAATTTATCCCCAAAGGGGTTGGCAGAGGTGCACATTACAGTACCTTATGCCACTGTAGAACACCCACTTTTCACTATTCATGTTATGAGTCCCATGTAATAGGTGGTGAGTCTATTGACATATACTGGACACAATTCCAGGTTCCGTGCTACTACTGATAATTTTTTTAAAACCAGTAATATTTTGCCTGATCTGGGAATTGAACCCGAGACCTCTTGCCCGGCAGTCGCACTTGCGACCACTCGGCCAATGAGGCAGTCTGTTTTATCCTTTTTTTTAATAACTTTATTTATTTAGAGGCTATCATACCCTAATAACCAATTTTATTACCATATCATCATTACACAACACCTTAGGCTCCATCAAACATCCATCCATGTTAGACCATAAAGTTTATTACCAGAAACAAACAAGAAATGGAAATTGTGTAATTATTTTGTTTGTAATGTATGTATCGTATTTATAATTCTTTAATGTATTAGTTTATAGTATTCGAAATGGGCATATAATGCCTGAAATAATTGGATAAATTAAAAAAAAATTAAAAAAAGTCTCACCACTTGAAATTTGTATGTCCCCCAAATCCTTTCCGCCAATGTCCTCGGCCCCTTCCTTCGCTGCAGCAGCCAAGGCGGCCAGTCTGGCCTTTTCCTGCTCCTCCAGAGACCCATAATGCACTTGTTTAGACTTCTTTACCAACACAACATCATCATCATCAGACATTTTGAGGTTATGTTTATTTTCCGGCTTTTATACAACTGCCTTGCCCTTTGGATTGAGTTAGTAATTTGGACACTTAGAAATAAGAAGTTTTATTTAGATAATGCTAGCAAATATAACTAAATTGTTGAATTTAATAACGGCGGTATTGATATACACGTTTGACAGTTCCACAATAAACAGAATCTAGCGTTACTCTTCACGCAGTAAACTTTAAACTCAAACCATTGACGCCATTCCCGATTAACTTTGTTAAGTTAGCAATTTATCTTATTTGATTCAAATTTTCATGTAATAAGTTCTTACTTTTACAAAGTAACATAGACTTTTGCTATTCGTATACCTACTGGAATAATGTTGAATTAATTTTTGAGATTCTAAATTTGCGTGTAAAGAAGTGTGTGTCACAGATAAAAAATTTAGTATACCACAGTTAAATTTGCAAACTATTTAGCGGAATCTTTTTTCATACAATTGCTATTTTAGAAGTTAAACATGAAATAAAAAATTTACTGAAATAACAAAGTTAGCTCAATCATGAAATAAATAAGTTTTTTTGATTTTTCATTATCTGAAGTCTAGTAAACAACAATATTCTTTTTCGTTTTATAATGAGGAAGTGGAATTATTTACTCGCACATTGACAACACCGGGCAATGGTCGTTGTTTACGTCAGTGCGAAGCTGCAAAATAATTTACAAAAATTCTACTAAACTTCGACTAAAATGTAAAAATACATGTCAATAATATATTAAAATACTAATTATTGACATATCATTTCAATTTTGTGTAGTAAATAGCAATTTGTTTGACGTTAGTAACATAACCTATAAGTGCGTATTAATTTTGTGTAAAATTCTTCTAAATTATGGCTCTGCAGTTATCTAGGCGGGAGGTGGACGACCTAAGGTCATCCCTAGACCGTGCGATATACAGAACTATTGGAAAATCTGATAGTTCTTTGCTATCGACCGTTTCTTCGTGTCTTTCTAGTGGGTGAGTTAAAACTTAAAGAAATACTTGTTTATTATTAGTTTACAAACATTATATGGTGTTTGTTATACTTATAAGAGTTTATTGTAGCACGATTATCGCTTATGTAGCCCTGGGAATCAAGTGTTCAATAATATTCTTAGTTGATTCTGTAGCATCCTTAAAACCATGGAATTGAAATGTTTGGTTGTATCAAAATTGTGTTAGTTCTATAGCTATAGTTTAAAATTACCCTAATTATGAACTTATAGCTTGGAATGGGTGTATTTTCCTACTATTTCAAAACCTTTTTTGACTAAAAGTATTATATTTTCCTTCAATTCTCTAGATTGTCTCAGGAAGTAATAAATTACTTATATTGTCATATCATATATATATTTTGGCATACTAGTTTATTGCTTTTAAGTTCATATCCTGGCTAGGACAATGATAAATCACAATCACTTGATTGTATGAATGATGTAGAATGATGCTGAGTCAAACATAACTGTGTTTTATGTAAAATACAAACTTGATTATTTGATAACTTGATTGTTGTGTGCAACTTAAATTCTGTGCTGTACCCCTTTAACCAGAGAACGCGGTCGGACAAATTAATGGTCGCGGAGAACCTAATGGGTTACCGAGGCTCCGGCTCGATATGCAGAAGAACGAACAGGGTGGTTTTTAGTCAGTAAGAGTCTGACACTCCCTCCCGCCTCACCCAGACGGGAGCACTCATTCGATGATTTCCCCCCTTAAAAACAACAAAACCCCCTTTAACCAGACTTCTATAGACTAATAATCACCTCTACAATTCCAGCTACGAACGCCGTAAAATAATAGACAAGATATCTGCACACATCGACTCCAAGAAAGCAAGCAAACTAGCAGACAAAGTAATCGCTCTAGCGCAAGAACTGGTTTCCAGTTCCAAGACTCAGAAACGTAAACATGAGTCTTCAGACCGGGACAAGGAGGTCAAGAGGTCTAGACATGAGGATAGGGACGAAAAGGAGGATAAGAAAGAGGAGAAGAAGAATGGAGCAGAGGCTGCCGTGCTGCCAGAAGGAGAGACGGTCGGGTCAAAGATGGCTGTTTTAAGCGCTGATAGGATTAAGGTGAGTAGTATAAGATGTTTTTATTTTGTGTTGGCCTTTGTATTGGGATAAGCCTCTAAACAAGCAGACGAATCACCTGATGGTAAGCAATTGGCGTCGCCATAGACACCAGAAGTCATTACAAGTGGGTTACCTGCCTTTTGGGTAATGGAAATATGAGGATTGTGGGGGATTGAAGAGGAGGGGGGATAATTGGGCCACCACTAACCTCACTCACATGACGAAACAAAACGCAAGCGTTGTGTCTGTGAGGTTGTGGTATAACTCCGGTCGAGCCGTTCGCAGTAGTAGCACGGAGTTTGGAAATGTATCCCGTATTTGCAATAGGCTCACCCCCTATTACATGGGACTCATAGCATAAAATAATAATGGAAAGTGAGTGTTATATTGTACAGTGGCATTAAGTGCCGTAATGTGCACCTCTGCCTACCCCTTCGGGGATAAAAAGCGTGAAGTTTAGTTATGTTAGTTATGCTACAGAACAGTCTTTAATTTATTTAAAAAAAAAAACATTTTACTTAACCAACCTAACCCAATTCTCATTCTCTTCCAGTTAATGATGGCAAACGCTCAAAAGGAAATAGAAGAGAGGAAGAGAGCCCTCCTAGCTATGAAGGGAGAGTCCAAGAGTGGAGTGAGTGCTGCCGCGGCCACCGCTCAGCAGCTGAAGGTCCAAGTACAGCAGAACAGCTCCCTGGCACCGCCCAGTGTTATCAAACCGGTGCTGTATTCTAAACCTGGTATGTATTGTATACCTACTAGTTGACTATTTTTTTTTATATCATCTCTTAAACCTTCCCTGGATTTCCACAATCATATCAAGATCACAATTAGTCAAATCGGTCTAGTCTAGTAGGTGTGGGTCTAAGTCTGGGCTCGCCATGCTTCGGCACGAATGGGCCGGCTCGACCGGAGTGATACCACGGCCTCACAGAAAACCGACGTGAAGCAACGCTTGCGTTGTGTTTCGTCGTGTGAGTGAGGTTACCGGAGGCCCAATTACCCTCCCCTTCCCCAATCTCCCCAATGCCTGAATCCCCAACGATCCCTTAAATTCCCAATTCCCAAAAAGCCGGTAACGCACTTGTAACGCCTCTAGTGTTCTAGGTGTCGACGCCGATTGCTTACCATCAGGTGATCCGTCTGCTCGTTTACCGGCTTATGCCATTAAAAAAAGGTGTCTATGGGCGACGCCGATTGCTTACCATCAGGTGATCCATCTGCTCGTTTACCGGCTTATGCCATTAAAAAAAAGTGTCTATGGGCGAATTGCTTACCATCAGGTGATCCATCTGCTCGTTTACCGGCTTATGCCATTAAAAAAAGGTGTCTATGGGCGACGCCGATTCCTTACCATCAGGTGATCCGTCTGCTCGTTTACCGGCTTATGCCATTAAAAAAAGGTGTCTATGGGCGACGCCGATTCCTTACCATCAAGTGATCCGTCTGCTCGTTTACCGGCTTATGCCATTAAAAAAAGGTGTCTATGGGCGACGCCGATTGCTTACCATCAGGTGATCCGTCTGCTCGTTTACCGGCTTATGCCATTAAAAAAAGGTGTCTATGGGCGACGCCGATTGCTTACCATCAGGTGATCCGTCTGCTCGTTTACCGGCTTAAAATTAATTATAACATATTTGTTTTCAGTGGGAGGTGGTCTAAGTCATGAGGAGTTGGAGAAACAAAGAAAAATAGCCGAACTGCAAGCCAGGATACAGAGGAAATTAGCTGGTAAGTTATTGTGTTAAGGATTATATTCATTTAACTCGTCGAGTACCGGTTTTATAGACACAATGAAAGAACAATGGGTCGCGGTCACCGGTGACCGCTTGGTGTTTGACAGTTTAATGAAACAGTTCTGTTTGGTTCTTTAAATAGATTGGAAAAATAGGGCATAAGATTATTTATTTGCAAAAACATGTGTGAGATAATAAACTTCATAGAATGTACAGTTAAAGGTAAAAAGTCCACAGCCACCGTGAGTGATGTTCACACGGCAATGCGTAAGTAATTTTATATTAATGTGTATAAAAACGCGTGCGTACGCATAAACACACGCACGCGTACGCACACGGATACAAATATGGCGTGTGCGTGTGGGTATAAGCGCTGCAGCGCAACCGATAGCAGTCTTACGGTGGCAGTGGACTTTTGACCTTTGACCGTACATTATAAGTTGTACAGATGAGCAGTGAGCATAGTATCAACATGTTTGACCATTTCTGGTGTACAAATGTGAAATACATACATACATGCATAACTTCACGTCTGTCTCCCTTGGGGGTAGACAGAGAATGACCGCACATTGCTACGATTCTCACATACCTCTTTCGCTTCATTAACAGTCATCAATTTTTTCATGCATGCTCGTCGGTTAAGGGTACTTTTAATTTGGCCCTTCTTTAATATTTCGCCAATCTGGTCACTATATGTCCGCCTAGGGCGCCCTCTACCGACTGACCCATTAATATCCGCTCTGTATACTTCTTTCGTTACTCTACTTTCATCCATCCTTTCTACATGTCCACACCAGCGTAACATTCCCTTTTCAATCATTGTCACTACATCGTCTTTCAACATAAGTGACAAGTGGCTCACATACTTAAGTAGCATATTTATGTAGTAGTCGCCCGGGTTCGAAACCCACCAACGGCAAGTACTAATGTGACTTTTTCCGAGTTATATGTACTTTCTAAGATTATATAGATACCACTGACAAACGGTGAAGGAAAACATTGTGAGGAAACCTGGGCTTATAATTTATAATTATATGTTTGTAATCGCCAACCCGCATTGAGCAAGCATAGTGATTAATGCTCAAAACTTCTCCGTGTGAGAAGAGGCTTTGCTCAGCAGTGGGCATTTATAGGCTGTTGGTGTTATATATAGAAAGTGACCGGTTCGTTTCCCAGGCGGTGCCCTGACCAGCACGGGGGGCAGTGGTCCAGCCCCTCTGATCCTGGACCGCGAAGGTCGCACGGTGGACACCAGCGGGAAGCGAGTGCAGTTAACACATGTTGCACCTACGTTGAAGGTTCGTATATTTATGTTACTCAGCGCTCGTACACAAAACTGCGATGCGACGTCGGCGATCGCAAAAATAGGAGCTACGCATCGCAAGAACTTGCGAATTATTTCTTTGTTTCTTGTTCCTGTATCTCCTAAGCAATAACAGAAGTGCACACTTCTTGTTACGATCCATGTCACGACCTAGTTGTCAATTTAAAATACGTTTAGTACGGTTGACGGTCGTCGAAGGAATGGTCACCCTGGGAGACGCCTTGTCGCACGAAATCGCATCGCAGGAATTCGTGTCGTTATTTTCTGCGTTGCTAATTTGCATCGTATTGCATTGCAGTTTTGTGTATGAGTCCGCCGCTGATTTGTCCAATGTCTAAGATAAATTTGAATTGAGGAATAATTTTGATTATTTGCCAATTCCTCCATATTAAAAACTGTCAAATGTCAATTTTATTCTACAGTTACGAGTTAACTGATGTTTGAAAAAAACGGCTCTTAGTAATAATTTTATACCGCATGGAAAGTTGAATTTGAAACCTTTTTGTTTGCTTATCCGTTTAATGAGGTAGTTAATAAACACAATGTTTAAAAATTTTAAGAAAAATCTTAAAAATAATCTTAATCAACCATTTCGGGTGGGGAATACATTTTTTTTTACATTTTTTACCGATTTTAAAAAAGTATTTGCAATACGGTACTTGCCAACTAGTAAAATTCAATATTTTTTTTGAACTGTCAAAAACGACAGTTTTCTACGAATTTTGTACGAGATTGTGTATTTTGACGTCACGTTTTTTTACCGTCGAACAGCATACTTATACTTATTTGTTAAAAAATGTTGGAGAAATAGTAAAAAGGTGAACGTTGTTTGCAGGCGAACATCCGCGCGAAGCGGCGCGAGGAGTTCCGCGCGCAGCTGTCTGGCGCGGGCCCGCTGGCGAGCGAGGCGGGCGGCGCGCGCTGGGTGGACGAGCGCGTGGCGACGCGCGCGCCGGCCCGCGCCCGCCGCCCGCTGCGCTTCCACGAGCCCGGCAAGTTCACGCAGATGGGGGACCGACTGCGGATGAAGGTACCACAACTTTTACATATTTTTTATATCTGAATCCTGACTGTAACCTTTCTTTTTTATGACGGGGGAATACTTCCAAAAGGCGCCTAGCCTTTTGGGGGGACATTGGAGACAGAGATGTAGCTTCGTTGTACATTTTTTATCGCTTATACCACGGGGAGTGCTCTGAGGAATTGTTTGACCTGATACCTGCCGCATCTTTTCGCCGTCGACCCTCACGACCGACAACGCACCTATATGACTCCTCTAGTGTTGTGGGTGTCTATGGGCGGCGCTGATCGCTTACCATCATGTGATCCGTCTGCTCTTTTGCCTCCTATTCCATAAAAAAAGACAGACTTATGGTCACCCTCAGCACTTCTAAGGGGCACCGGGTCTTCTATAGAAACCTGGATGAGTGTATAACCTGGATATCTTCAAGGCCCGAGTGAATAGGTTGCTTATGGGACGACGTGCTCCATCGTAGACCGCATCATCGTGCACCACCAGGCGAGATAGTGGGCAAACGTCGCCCTATGAAATATAAAAAAAACCCATGACCAATACAATTTTTTTTTTAAAAAACGTAACCCCACATTAGGATTTTCTCCTGTGTCGTGGGTGCGTTTACATCGGGAATCAAACCCGCGACACGTTGCACGGCAGCTGGTTGCCCAACCACCGCACCAACCGTGCAGTCTATTGCACACGTCGTCTTTATATGTCCTACATTAACAGTTTATTTTATTTCGCTTCATCATTAAAATTTCATGTTTTACCATATCCAGTATTAGGTATTAATATTTTTTCACAAAATAATTTCCAGGCGCAGCTGGAAAAGCTTCAGAACGAGATATCTCAGATAGCTCGCAAGACTGGCATCTCGTCTGCCACCAAGCTGGCACTACTGGCGGCCGACACGCCAGACTCCGACAGAGTGCCAGACATTGAGTGGTAAGCACACGTCTACGAGCCGACTTATTTATAACTACCTGACCGGGCAAACTTCGTACCACCGACCGAAATTGTTTTTCTCACCTTATAAACCTTTCCGAGACTTCCACGAACTTTCCAAGACCAAAATTAGCCAAATCGGTTCAGCCGTTCTCGAGTTTTAGCGGGACTAACGAACGGAAATTCATTTTTATTTATATAGATAGATAAATTCTAGTTACTATCGCTCGGTTTCACCCGCTGACTCACTGACTGACTAACTGATTGACTAACAACTGACTGACTGCCTCACTCACTCACTCACTTATGCACTCACTCACTCACTCAGTTACTTACTCAAAACTCAAACTCGTTCACTTATTTATTTTGTTTCACAAATTTTTTTTCATTCCCCTCGATAACAATTCTTGTTGAAAATGTGTGTCAATGAGTGTATGTGTGTATGAATCTATGTTGTTAGACAGAGTATGTGAGTTAGTAGGTTCGTCCATAAATGAGTGCTTACGTGTGAGTAATCGAGTGAGTGAGTGAGTGAGCAAACGAATGAGTGACTTACTGAGTGAATGAGTGAGTAAGTGAGCAAACGAATGAGTGACTTACTGAGTGAATGAGTGAGTAAGTGAGTGAGTGAGTGAGTGACTGAGTGACTGAGTAACTGAGTGGCTGAATGAGTGAGTGAGCGAGCGAGCCAGTGACTGAGGTGAGTGAGCGACTGGCAATATGTGTGTATTTGTGCGGTCGTGATTATGTGTGCGTTACATACGTTCTATGTAAAACTTTATGATTTTTTTATCATTTATTATTGAATAAGAGTCTCCAACAAGGAATACACTTATAACACATAAATAACATTGCAATAAAATAAAAAAAGTATGTGCTTCCCAAATTGTAGGAGGTCACATAATTATGAATATAGTAAAAAATTACATCAATTAAAAATTACATCTCGTTGGCCGAGTGGTCGCATGTGCGACTGCTGCGCAAGGGGTTTCGGGTTCGATTCCCGGGTCAGGCCAAGTAATACAGCGTTTTAAAGAAAATCTCAGTAGTAGCATGGAGTCTGGTATAGTGGGACTCATAACATAAATAGTGAAAGTTGGGTGTTACATTGTACAGTGGCATTAAGTGCCGTAATGTGCACCTCTGCCTACCCCTTCGGCAATAAAACGCTTGATGTTATGTGTTTTATTTAAAACTGAGGTCTTTAAAATCAAAAATTAAAAGTTAACATTTTAATACTAAAGATATAGATAGAACTATAATTAAAAACAATAGAGAGAAAAGTATTTTTTTTTTAAATAAACGTTACCCTACGCCAGGATTTTCTCCTGTATCGGGGCTACGTTTACAAACATACAAGTCCACATACACATCACACACAGACACATAACAACAATTTGTGGATCACACAATAAATTGTTCCGTGCGGGAATCGAACCAGCGACACGTTGCACGGCAGTCGGTTGCCCAACCACCGCGATAACAGTCGAATTATTTGTGTGCCGACACAAACTCAAACTCAAAAGCATTTATTTCAATTAAACCATAATTTGGTACTTTTGAAACGTCAACAAATATGAAATAAATAATAGTCTGTCAGTCTGTCCGTCAGTGAAGCTAGGCGCTCGTTCCAAAATGTCGATTCGAGTGGAGAAGAACGAGCAAGAAACTCCATTCGTTACTCTTTTAAAAAAAAAGTCTGTTTTACATTGCTCTGATACATATTCCAATATTGTACAAACATGTGAGAATAATGTAAAGACATACCTGACGCAACATACAAATAACAGAACGTACTAAAATAAAAAAAAAACAAATAAAACATAATCAGACATATTAAAAACTCATTTCCAGGTGGGACAGTGTGATCCTGATGACACCAGAAGAGCGTCAGAATCAGAACAAGCGTTCAGACACGTCGGACGAGTCAGACGACAGGACGCACTCGCAGAGGGTGGACGCGTGCCACGTCGGTGGAGATGATATAGTCGACAATCTCAACGAGCTGGCAATCACCAACCTGGTCGAACATCCGCAACAGTTACGGCCGCCAAGTAAGTCGACATTTTTTTTTTCATTTAAAAAAAAATTGTTGCCCCACACTAGGATTTTCTCCTGTGTCGTGTGTGCGTTTACAAACATACAAATTCACATACACATGACACCCAGACCAGAAACAACAATTTGTGGATCACACAAAGTGTTGTCCCGTGCAGGAATCGAACCTGCGACACGTTGCACGGCAGCCGGTTGCCCAGCCACCGCACCAACCGTGCAGACGTCTGTTTTAATTTCTTCTAATTCTGTTTTAATAATAATAATCTTTGAAAAACTATGTTAACTAACTTCTGCCAGCGGCTTCGGCCGCGTTCCCGTGGGATAAACAGTAGCCTATGTGGTATTCCAGACAATAGTATACCCCGGTTCAAAATTTTAACCTGATCCCTTCAGCTGTTTCGAGGTTAGGAACGGGGTGGTTTTTAGTCAGTAAGAGTCTGACACTCCCTCCCGCCTCACCCAGGCGGGAGCAGTCATTCGATGATTTTCTCTCAACTCAACTTCACGCCTAGGCAGAAGTGCTCATTACGGCACTTAATGCCACTGTACAATGTAACACCCACATTTTACTATTTTCGTTATGAGTCCCATGTAATATGGGGTGAGCCTATTGCCATATACCGGGCGCATTTCCAGACTCCGTGCTACTACTGAGATTTTTTTAAAGCCCAGTAATACTTTGCCCGACTAGGGAATCAAACCTGAGACCCCTTGCCCGGCAGTCGCACTTGCGACCACTCGGCCAATGAGGCATTCACGATGATTTTCATCCTTAAGAAAAAAAATTAACTTCAAACATACACAGTTACACACACAAACTATCGCATTTCAATTTTTAAATATGTACCTAACTTCCTATCGTCAGCCTTTACGTAGGTAGCCGAAAATGTAAATTTTACGTTGCAATATAGATCTTAGTACTCGCGTACTTAGATCTAGTTTCAAAAATACAAGCAATAAATATTTATGAACAAGATAAAAATAGTCCCTATCTAATGATCTAGATAGTATAATTGTTGCTACATGTACAGTGGCCAGCCGGCACCTAAGCAAACGCGTGTAACGAAACCATAGCGCGATCTAACTTGATCCCATCGCCATCTATCGAGCGAGGAGACAACTTTGTAATGTAACAGCGCCATCTCTACGCCATGCTTCGAAACTATGTGACGCCATTGTTCTTCCCTGTACTAGCAACCGTACAGGGTGTTTTGTTATTAGAGAATACGGATGACAGTGTATGAAAAAAAATCTAATTAGTCCGTCAGTTAGGTAATGAAAAACTATTAGACACGTATTTTTTTATTTTGTTGTACAAGAAAACAATATTTAGATAAAACGAATCAAAGTTTAGGAGTGGGAGCTATCTACGTCATTTTAGAGTATAGATCGTATTCAAAAGTGACGTCATGCGATATTTCAAATGTATATTCATTTGAAATATCGCATGACGTCACTTTTGAAACTTGGTTTCCGTAAGAAAATAAAAAATACGTGTGTAATGTTTTAAAATAATGTACCAGACGGACATTAAAATATTTTTTTTAATCTACCCTATTATCTTGTATGAGGTCATAAGCAGGTATCTTCTACCGATTGAGCTGACATTTTGTATACTCGTTTAGTTTCCATGACAATAAACACTTAGCTGTATTAAAGCTTATTAAAGTAATTTTAAATTTAAGCTAGCTACGATTCGGTTTCACCCGCTCTGCTTGGCGCCTATTAATCGTAGCGTGATGTTTTATAGCCCATATAGCCATCCTTTATAAATACACTATCTATATATCTATCTATATCTATACATATAATAAAATCGTAGAAAAGTACTGCATGGATTTTCCTCAAATTTTGTATGATTGTTACTGACAGGTCGGGACAACATATAGGGTACATATTATCACGCTGTTACCTACGGGGTAAGCGTAGTAAATCACTATTCCACGCGAACAAAGTCTTGGGCACATATAGTACAACACAAAAAGGTTTGTTCAAAATCGGCCCAGTAGTTCCTGAGATTAGCTCGTTCATACATACAAACTTCGCCTTTTTTGTTGGATATTCCATTATTGAGGAAGGTTATCCTTACTAATATTATAAATCGGAAAGTGCGTTTGTTTATTTGTTTGTTTGTTTGTTCCACTTTAACGCCGTAACTACTAAACCGATTGCTTTGAAATTTTGCAGACGTAAAGTTAGAAGTCCGGATTAAATAATAGGGTACTTTTTATCCCGGAAAAATTTGATATTCCCCAGGGAAAACAAAAGTATTGGTATAGATGGCGCTGTGTGTATTGGTATATGTCACATTGGCTTTTTATCCTTTTGTGACGCGAGCGAAGCCGCGGGTAAAAGCTAGTGGCCTATGAAACATCACGCTACGGGGAATAGAAGATGAGCAGAGCGGGTGAAACAACGAGAAAGTTGCTAGTATAAGATTTATTATGCCTCGTTGGCTGATTGGTCGAGTGCGACTACCGGGCAAGGGATCTCAGATTGGGCAAAGTATAACTGAGTTTTTTTTTTAATTCTCAGTAGTGATATGGATACTGGCATTGTGCCCGGTATATGGCAATACGTTACCCCCTATTACATGGGACTCATAACATAAATAGTGAGAAGTGGGTGTTAAATTGGTGTGTACAATGGTATTAAGTGTCGTAATGTGCACCTCTGCCTTGTTAGCTGATTGATATAAATGATAATTAATTTAATTACATTGTAAGTACAGGTTTCGTCATCTGATGATGTTTTCCTTCCCCGTATTTCAGGAGAAGACGAATAATAATAATACACATATTTTTCTTAAATACGTTTATTATAGTTATTATTTATATTATTAAGTATACATACAATTTTATAATTGAGGAAAATACCGTATATAATAACTCATATAAAATGTTAAATTACATATATAGCAGTATTTTAACCATCATTTATCATCAGCCTATAAGTGGCCACTGCTGACCAAAGGTCTCTCCTCACAAAGAGAAGGTTTGAGCATTAACCACCACGCTTGCGCAATGCAGGTTGGTGATATCAAATTTATAATTAGAAATTATAAGCCCAGGTTTCCTCACGATGTTCTCCTTCACCATTTGTCAGTTTAAATAACCTTAGAAAGTACATAATTATAGTTAACAAGAAAATGTGACTTTTCCGAGTTATATGTACTTTCTAAGATTATTTAGATACCACTGACAAACGGTGAAGGTTCGTCGTTTATCGTGAGGAAACCTGGGCTTATAATTTTTAATTATAAGATCGAAATCGCCAACCCGCATTGAGCAAGCGTAGTGATTAATGCTCAAACGTTCTCCGTGTGAGAAGAGGTCTTTGTTCACTTATAGGCTGTCGATATATATTTAAGTATTAATTGTCATAAATATTATGTTATATCTCTGCTTATCCACTTATACTAATCGTCATCGGGAACACAGAATGCGCCCAACCTCCGCATGAACTCGGGACAGCGAATGTTACATGCTATTATACAAGACGTTACTATTTTCATTTTTTCCGTAGTAGTGGTAGACGCATTAAGGCTAAGCGTTGTCACATTTGGATTAGGCGTTGTTGAGACTGCTTTAGGCATATTGTTGACAGTCGCAGATGTAGGCAAATTGTTGTTGTTTGACATCGTTCCATATGGGTCGTTGTTGATAGATGTAGGCAAATTGTTTGACAGTGCTCCATATGGGTCGTTGTTGATAGATGTAGGCAAATTGTTCTTTGGCAGTGCTCCATATGGGTTGATGTTGACAGATGTAGGCAAATTGTTGTTTGGCAGTGCTCCATATGGGTCGTTGTTGATAGATGTAGGCAAATTGTTGTTTGGAAGTGCTCCATATGGATTGATGTTGACAGATGTAGGCAAATTGTTGTTTGGCAGTGCTCCATATGGGTCGTTGTTGATAGATGTAGGCAAATTGTTCTTGTTTGACAGTGCTCCATATGGGTCATTGTTGATAGATGTAGGCAAATTGTTATTGTTATAACCACTGCTGCCTCTGAAGCTGTTCCTGGGATTCTGATCATTATTCTTAGGGTAATAAGCTAGCATATCCGTCAAAGGGCTATTGATTACAGGTCTAGGCGTATAGCTATTATATCCGGCAAAGCTCTGGCCGTTTGGATTCTGATAGTTATAATATATTGGCGTGTTGCTCGGGATTCTATAACCGGGTGTAACCGGACGAGGTTCATAACCAGGCGGATAACCGTACGGATATGATCTTATATACGGACGGTTGTTATAACCGGTTATATTGGTCTTGTTAAATAGATAATTATAATTCGGATTGAAAATGTCGTATCTATTTGTAGTATTGTAATTATATTGTGTATTTACTGGTATTTTTATTTTTCTGTAATAGGCGTATCTTTTAGGTCTTTCTAAGACCTGGTTTTCATATTCTGTGTGGATAACGGGCTCGGATACCGTGTCAGGTAGACTTCTTCGTACTCGTATGTCCATTCCATTTGGTTCGTCCTTTATGCCGTAATTATTGCGCTGCGCAAATATATTTATAAGGCCTACTATGAAATATACGGGGAACATCGTGTTTAGTTATTTTGACTTGGTTTTTTTCAAAATTGTATAAACTGTCTTTTAATATAAAGTCTATAATTGTGTATAAAGGTTATATTGTAATATAATTTCTTGTATAAACACTTAAAATTAACTCATGGCCGTTTTTACTGATTTCCTCTAAACAATATTTTAATTAAGAGTCTCTTATTTTAAACTAACCCCTTACTTGCACTGTTAAGTGTCACTTATAAGTTAATAACTAAAATGACGAAATTCACTTAGCTTGAAAGGTTCCTTAAAATTCAGGAAAGGTAAATGGTCACGAGTCACTCAAACACTTGAAAATTTAGTATTACACTTCAGTCTAACCTTTCGAGGATAGAAAGCCGCGATGTTATCTTAAACTGTCAAACACCGAGCGGTCACCGGTGACCGCAACCTATTGTTCTTTAATTGTGTCTATAATGACGGTACTCAACGAGTTAAAACACAGTCACTATAGTCTCTAAGCACAATTTTAAACACACAATTTTACTTTTTTCTTCATATTAAGTTAATTCCAACGTTGATTTATTACACTTAAGTTATAAAAATATTGTTTTTGCACTGTTATCTATTGGAGTTCAAAGTATTAACAAAATAGTTACAACTATTTATCACTTGTGATAAAAAATAAACTGAGATTTTCCTTGTAGACACTTCAGTAATGCGTCGTATATTTAGTTCTTGCGTAGTGATCACGTATCACTGAATGCAGTGTTAGACGGCGACTCCGAAGGTGAATAGACGACCTGATATAGGTCGTAATACAGGTCGCTATCAACCTCGCGATGTGTTTGGGGAACGACTGCATGAGGCAGTTGACTGTACGTGGCTGTACACACAATAATTTGCGTCGAATCACTTAAACTGTCAAAAACCAAGCGGTCACCGGTGACCGCAACCTATTGTTATTTAATTGTGTCTATAAATACGGTACTCGACGAGTTAAATTATATATAAATTTTACCACAGATAGCCTCTTGTTTCGTGTATAGTAGTAAACTGGACTATTTAATATATGTTTAATTGTATATATATATGTTTATATACAGGCTGAATGAATTAATAATGTAACCAAGGATTGGTTGAAAAAGAGTAACTTATGGAGTTTCTTGCTCGTTCTTCTACATAGGAATCTTTACTTTGGAATGAGTAAATAGAGCGGGCGCCGTTAACTGGAACTGGTCAGCTCCAGACTATGATTTTATTGTCCTCAAGGTTATTTTCTTTTTCGATCTCTTTAACTGGATTTTGGTGTTACATTGTTCTCACACAATTGAACCTACAATACTATGTAACTAGAGAATTGTATTGTGAACCTGATTGAAAAGAGTAACCTATGGAGTTTCTTGCTCGTTTTTCTCTTAAATTAATTATTATGTTTTTCGGCTTACTCACGTAATTATTTAATGAGGAACTCTACTAGTTTCAAGCTATCCTAGAGACTCATATTTATGAGCAGCATTCCTCGACCTGCGACGAGGCGACTCTCGCGCTGCTACTGTTAAATAATGTTTGTTGATATTATGTTTTCGGCTTACGCACGTATTAATTTGACGAGGAATTCGACTAGTTTACCAGCAGCGCGACAGTCGCCGCGTCGCGGGTCGCGAAATGCTGCTCATGAATATGAGCCTCTAGCATGGCTTGAAACTAGTCGAGTTTCTCGTCTAATTGTTACATGAGTAAGCCGAAAACATAATAATTTATTTAGTATGTCTCACGAAATTATACAAATATTTGTTGAGTTATTTTATTAAGTTATTCTTAAGTTCTTTTATTTTAATTTATCGTGCATAAAGTAATCACGCTGTATATATGTATGGATGGAAGATACTCTATATTTAGACCAAAGTCTATTGTTTACTTGGTACTTGTCTAATTAACAGAAATATGTACAATCATTCGATGCTTTAATTAATTCTCAGTAAATTGTTGATAAAAAATAATTGACAACGCTCGCGTTGTTTCGCTGTGGATAGGGATAATGACGGGATATTAAAATTGTGTGTGGGAGAGCCACGCTTCGGCACAAATGGGCCGGCTCGACCGAGGTGATACCACGGCCGCACAGAATACCGACGTGAAGCAACGCTTGCGTTGTGTTTCGTCGTGTGAGTGAGGTTACCGGAGGCCCAATTACCTTTCCCTTCCCCAATCTCCCCAATCCCTGAATCCCCAACGATCCTGAAACTCCTAATCCCCAAAAAGCCGGTGACGCACTTGTAACGCCTCTGGTGTTCCAGGTGTCCATGGGCGACGCCGATTGCTTACCATCAGGTGATTCGTCTGCTCGTTTACCGGCTTAAGCCATAAGAAAAAAAATTACAAATCCATTTAGTCCGTCAGTTAGATAATGAAAAAATATTAGACATATATTGTTTTTATTTTATCGTATAAGAAAACAATACTTGGATAATATACCGCGGATACCTTTTCGATTATCGATAGCAAATTATTACTGGGTTTTTAAAAAATTCTCAGTAGTAGCACGGAGTTTGGAATCGTGCCCGGTATATGGCAATAGGCTCACCCACTTTACTCTCTCACATTACATGTGACTCATAAGTCATATCATAAATAGTGAAAAGTGGGTGTTACTTTTGTGTGCACCTCTGCCTACCCCTTCGGGGATAAAAGGCGTGATGTCATGTGTGGTCTGTGGAGCGCTTCTATAAAAGAGGGAATTGTCTTTGGTTGGATTTCCCAGTACCTATAAAAGTTTCAGGTTTATCAGAGACCGCTGCTGCCCGGTCTCCATTAAATGTATTGTCCCTCAGTCGGGTATACGACACCCGCGGCAAGAGTAGCGGTGGTGATAAATAGTATTCTATTCTGCAATCATAACGCGTCGATGCCGACTTAAAGTCAAAGTCAAAATCATTTATTTCAATTAAACCAGGATGGCACTTTGAACGTCAAACAACAAAAATGTATAAGTGAAGCTAGTTGCTCATTCCAAGGTGTAGATTCCTATGGAGAAGAACGAGCAAGAAACTCCATAGGTTACTCTTAAAAAGTATAATATTAATTTTATGAATGTACAATGTATTGTTGTATATATTTCTTGGAAAAATGTATGTTATAATGAAACTAGATACAATGAGTTGTAACCACAAGGAGATCAATGTGCCTACAATATTGTTTTATATAATTGTACTTCTAAGAAACTGATTCGTACAAGGTCAAAGTCAAAGAATTGGGTATTTGCCTTAACCAAAAATAAATTATTTCGACTGTTTAATAAATAGTCACACTTTCATTAATTGATTTTATGACCAACTTAATTTTAGTATATTTCCACCATTTTTTTAAGAAACTAGCTTCTGCCCGCGTCTTCGTACGCACAATCCCGTTTTCTCCCGTTCCCGTAGGATTTTCAGGAATTTTTCTGTCTTAAGAACCTTCTCCTGACAATAATAAACACAACAAAAAAATCAGCAAAATCGATCTAGCCGGTTTAAATTTATGGCGTGACAACGCGAAAAGGGTTTCATCTTATGTAGATAATCATCCTATGTATAGATAAGTATGCTGTTTGACGCTAAAAAAACGTGACCTCACAATACATTCATTTATTCATTCATTCATTCATTCATACACAATCTCGTACAAAATTCATAGTAAACTGTCGTTTTTGACAGTTCGAAAAAAGTATTGAATTTGACTAGTTGGCAAGTACGCCATAGGCTATTACATTCATTTTTGAAATAAATCTAAAATAAATTATATAGCCCTAATATACCTCTAAAAATTATAAATATTTTTTTTCTCGTGTTATTTACGAATGTAAATTAATTATTTTATCATAATTTCAAATTTCGCGCGTATTTCGCGAAATGCGGCAAACAGCGGACGCCATGATTGTTTTGTAGTTATGACGTTGGTATTCGTTTAGTAAACTACAGCTGACAGTAATACGCACTTAGTACAATGACAGCTGACACTTGTGTTTACTACCGTAATGACGTCATTAACATGGCGGCGACATGTCGTAGTGTTCAAAGACAGATAAAAAAATATTAAATCTTTAAACTGCAATAAATAAATATTTAAGTGCCTTATGAAGTTAAACTCACATTTCCCGATCGGTTTGCCTCTAAACATAACATAACATATAACATAACATCGCGCCTTTTATCCCCTAAGGGGTAGGCAGTGGTGTATATTATGCCACTGTGCAATGTAACACCCACTTTTCACTATATATGTTATGAGTCCCATGTAATAGGGGGTGAGCCTAGTAGCTTGTTTAATCTAGAAAATTGGACTCATCCGGGTTCCTATCGTGTAGGACTGTAGGAATAAATAAAATACAGATTTATAAAAATGTTTAATTTATTTATAACATAAAAATACAGTTAGGAATATAATTAGGTTCAATGCAATATTAAACTTATAATTTCTTATTAAGCAAGCGTGGTGATTTTAGGAAACAGAGAGTATAGTTCCCTAAGATCGGAAAAGGAGGATCCTCCGACCAGGCGAGGTGATCGTGCCTGGCGGGCTTTCTGCCCAACAGTTGTTCGTTGGGATTTTCTATCCGTGTTTATTTGCTTGTAAACTTTGCATGTGCGATGTAGGATTCTTGTGACGTCATCCGTTGACATGTGACATGTGTCGCCACAATGCGAAAGCTCAAACGTTGTCCCTGTGCGAAGAGGCCTTTGGTCGGCAGTGGCCCCTTATAGGCAGTTGGTGATGATGTATCTTGAATATTTTACTTTTTTACTATTCGTCTTGCACACACACCTCACCAAATCTTGTCGTCCCTTCTGGACAACCATTGCCTGCAGTAATTACACAAGCATCCATGCCAGTCGCGTCTTTTCCACACTTGTCATATTTTACAGTATTATTATATCCCGGTATAGTTGCGTTAAAAACCGGGTAGCCGCTGTTATTCTGAGCTGGTCTCGTCCAAGGTGCATTGGGGGTTGGTCTGTTTTGCTGTGCCGGGTAGCCGGAATAGTTACCCGGATTTTGAGAATACCCGGGTAGCGTAGGGTAAAGAGGATTAACATTACTTGGCTGTGGATGTGATGCAGGGTATCCTGAATAGTTTCCTGGGTATTGTGTAGGATTTAAAGGCTTGTTGTTTGGCTGTGGAGCCGGGTAACCGGAATAATTACTCGTGTACTGAGAATATCCGGGTGGTGTTGGGTATAGAGGCTTAATGTTACTTTGCTGTGGTTGCGGTGCTGGATACCCGGAGTAGTTAGCTGGGTACTGAGAATATCCGGGGTAGATCGGGTTTACAGGCTTGTTGTTAGAACCCGCGTAGGTGGTGCTGTTGTTCTGAGCTGGTCTTGTCCAAGATGCACTAGAGTTTGGTATGTTACTTGGCTGTAGATTTGGCAAAGGATATCCGGAATAGTTACCCGGGTATTGATTATATCCGGGCGGGTTAGGGTAAACAGGTTTGACGGTGCTAGGATTTACGTTATAAGGGTAATATCCAGGTTTGCTGTAATTGTAATTTTGTACCGGATTCACATAATGTTGCGTTGTATTCTGGTTATATCCGCTAAAATTGCCAAAGTTACTCTGTCTCGGTAAATTTGTCTTGTTTTGAGGTGCAAAATACCCGGTTATGAATCTCTTTACCCGGTTCGTATTGATTTCTTGGTCCGTAATCGTTTTAACGATGTTCTGATCCTGTACATCGTGGCATTGAGATATCGTTATACTTAAAGCGATTATTGCAAGCCATGTCGTCCACATAATGATTCCTTGGGGCTTCGATTCTTGATTAATACAGATTTTTTTTATTTATTTCACTGTTTCTTTAATTTTGAAAGAAATATTTTTTCACGTCTTCTCAAAATCTCAACAGACTGTACAGAGTTTAACAATACTAAATTTACACTGTTTTTTGTTAAAGTCTTTTGAATTACACCAACGACTTTACAGCGGCTTCGATTCTTGAGTTGTAAACGTCTTGTTGATTGTAATTTCACTGTGTGTTTGAAGTCACAAAATACTATTTATTAACACAACATTTTAATATGTTTTCTCGTAACAGTCGCCACTGTTTTTGCGTATGACTGTGCTATCACTAGTCAGTCCATGTAATACCTAATTTTGTAGATAATATTATATTCTTAGTGTTTATTACTATCTTATTCAAATAATATAAGGCTGAAGATGTTTGTTTGTTCGTTTGAACGCGCTAAGCTTTGGAACTACTGATTCAAATTGAATAATTAGGATGATGACAGGGTATGAAAATTAAAAATGTAATTAGTCCGTCAGTTAGGTAATGAAAAAATATTAGACACGTATTTTTTTATAAACATAACAACAACATAACATAACATCACGCCTTTTATCCCCGAAGGGGTAGGCAGAGGTGTACATTACGGCACTTAATGCCACTGTACAATGTAATACCCACTTTTCACTATTAATGTTATGAGTCCCATGTAATAGGAGGTGAGCCTATTGCCATATACTGGACACAATTCCAGACTCCGTGCTACTACTGAGATTGTTTGAAAAAGCCCAGTAATACTTTTCCCGACCCGGGAACCTGAGACCCCTTGCCAGACAGTCGCAATTGCGGCCATCGAGGCAGTCAGTTTTTTTTTATTTTGTTGTATAATTAAATTATACTTAGATATAACGGATCAAAGTTTAGGAGTGGGGGCTAAAACGCCATTTCTACGTATAAAATGTACATAGAAGTGACGTCACGCGACATTTTAAATCAATATATCTTCGAAAAAATAAAAAATACATGTCTAATGTTTTTATATTAATATTACGGACATTAAAATAAAAATTAGTCATCTACCCTATTGTTTTTGTGTTAGATTATCATCTAGAGAGATGGATCCGGAACAAATTGAATAATTAATCTGGTATTAGATAGTTCATTCATCGAGGAAGAATTTTGACAAAACATCACGCTACGAACAATGAGCAGCGAGTGAGTGCAAGCAAAACTAACCCTGAGCTACTACTTAGTTTTTTCTAAAACTGAAAACCAGCCCAATCGAAGACCTTTTTTAAGAGTGGACAATCATCCAATGACTTCTCACGCCTTGGGTGAGGCGGGAGGGAGTGTCAGACCCTTACTGACTAAAAACCACCCCGTTCCTTCTCCTGCCTCAAGCCGGAGCCTCGGTAACAAGGAAGATCTGTACTTATAATTCGTAATGATCAACGAGGCGACAAATTAACGACCAACACCGCAGGATTCCACTAGTTATAAATGCTTATCGATTCCCACTGAAAGGTTATCGTACTCAGGTCAAACCACTTAACAACGAAGTGTTACGAAATTCCTGCTAAAATACCAAGTGCACAGATGTTTGCCATAATCCCCAGGCTTGCCAATTTGCTTGTGGATTCCAATTAGGTTGTAGACTCGGTTGCTTAATCCGGTAAACTAGTAGACGGATCGCCTGATGGTAAGCAATCGGCACCGCTCATGGACACTCGAAACACCAAGGCGTTACAAGTGCGTTACCGGCCTTTTGGGAATTGGGAATTTGAGGATTTTGGACGATTCGGGGATTCGGGAGACGGGGACTAGGAAGGGGGGTAATTGGGCCTCCGGTAAGTTCGTTGAGTGGTCGCGAGCGCGACTCCCAAGAAAACAATCTTGGATTCATATGCCGCCGGGTCGGGTAAACTATATAGGGTTGTTTTCGAGTTTTCGAAAATTCTCAGTGATAGCTTGGTGGTTAGAATCGTGGCTGGTATATGACAAGTATTATAATGACGTGGTACAAGTAATATAGTCGAGGTTTGAGACGTGCATTTCTCATACATAGAAAGAAAGAAGAAAGAAAGAAAAACATTTATTCGACAGTAGGCACGCACACAGACACAAAAACATACAAAATTAAAAATGAAAAGAACAAATAAATACACATATTTATATAGATATAGAAAAATAAACACAAAGAAACGACAGAGTATAACAACATAATACATGAGGATGCGGGTTCGAAACTTACCAACGGTAACTACCAATGGAACTTATATGTACTTCCTAAGATTATTTAGATGCGTATGACAAACGGTGAAGGAAAACATCGTGAGGAAACCTGGACTCTCACTGCTTAAACCTTCTTTGTATGAGAAGAGGCCTTTGGTCAGCAGTGGTCACTTATAGGCTGTTGATCGGGACAATTATTAAAACTCCATACACTTTTAAAAATATATTTAATAATAAAAAATACATAAATCTTCTTTCTTTCGTTCTTTGTACTTACAAAACCAGAAGGGGTTACAACTGCGTTGCTGGATAATCAAAAAGCCATTGCGGTCATGTCCAAGGCGTTGGACATTGTGGCGTTTTAACCCGTTGAAAAACATCCCCTAAATTCGTTCATACAAAAGTAAAGTAGTCTCTAAAGATTGGAAATCCTTATCCTTACTTAATATTATAAATCTGAAAGTGAGTTTGTTTGTTCCACCTTCACGCCGTAACTACTAAACCGATTGCTTTGAATTTTTGCAGACGTAAAGTTAGAAGTCCGGATTAAATAATAGGGTACTTTTTATCCTCGAAAAATTTGATATTATCGAGGAAAACCGAAATTATTGGTATAGATGGCGCTGTGTGTATTGGTATATGTCACATAGGCTACTTTTTATCGTTTTGTGACGCGAGCGAAGCCGCGGGTAAAAGCTAGTAAGGTCTATAATGTAGTTAGAGGAGAGCGGTCACCGGTGACTTCTTGGGTGATATATGGGATAACACTTGTATTCTTGCATTAGCTTCTGCCAGCAGATTCACCGATGGTCCCGTGGGATAAAGTGGCCTATCTGTTATTACAGACGTTATTCCACCCCTGTTCCAAATGTCATTCTGCTCCCTTCAGCCGTTTTGACGTGATTGAGTTTGGGAGAGCCATGCTTCGGCACGAATGGGCCGGCTCGACCGGAGTGATACCACGGCCTCACAGTAAACCGACGTGAAGCAACGCTTGCGCTGTGTTTCATCGTGTGAGTGAGATTACCGGAGGCGTAAATCCCCCCCTCCTTCCCCTATCTCCCCATTCCCAACAAACCTCAAACTCCTAATCCTCAAAAGGCCTGTAACGCACTTGTAACTTCTCTGGTGTTCTGGGTGTCGATTGCTTACTCTGCTCGTTTACCGGCTTAATACATTGAAAAAAACACACACACAAACTCACTATCGTTCATAAGATTGTTCAGTTTCATTCGATATCGTATTCATCATATTTTGCTTTGTCTATACACTGCCCATTATATTTTACCATGCCATCTGAGCATTCCCCGTTACCAGTTACAATACATGCGTCCATGCCCCCTGTCTTATTGCCTGAAATACACAGATTTTGCTTAGAACTGTAACCGGGTTTCTCAGTCTTGTTATTCTTTGCTGGTTGTAACCAAGATGTATTAGCAGTTGGCATGTTCTTAATCCGTGCTAGATAGCCGGAATTGTTACCCGGGAATTGTGTATATCCGGGTTTAGTTCTGTTAGAAACTCTGTAAGCAGTGCTATTTTTCTGTACTGATTGTAACAAAGATGTATTAGCAGTTGGCATGTTCTTAATTTGTGGTTGAACCCGTGCTGGATAGCTGGAATTTATACCCGGGAATTCTGTATATCCGGGTTTCATTATGTTATGAACCGGGTAGCCAGTGCTGTTCCGAGTAGCTTTTAGCTTAGGAGTTTGTAAGCTATTTGGCCGTAGAGTTGGTGCTTGATTTCGGGAATAGTTAGCCAGGTTTTGTGTATATCCGGGTTTCATATTTTTAGAAACCGGGTAGTGACTGCTGTTATTCAAATAAAGCCGTGTTGTTTTGTTTCTATTTTGTTTAAATCCGGGTGTTGAAACATTATATCCATTCGTTTTGTTCTGGGTGGTAAGATATCCGGGTTTATTTGGATAACCTGTTCCGGTTACAAATCTCCTTACCCGGTTCGTGTTGATGTCTTGGTCCGTAATCGTTTTAACGATATTCTGATCCTGTTCATCGTGACACTGAGATGTCGCTATCGTTAAGGCGATTATCGCTTGCAATGTTAACCACATAACGATTATTCGTGATTCCGTTATTTCGATTCTTGATTTGATGCAAATTTTTGAAATTAATTTTCACTGTTAATTCACTTAACAGTTAACTTATTGAAATATTTTATTATTGTCACTGTTTTTCAAGATCTGACTTTCAGACTTGCAGCGTTCACTACTGCAGTTATTGCATGTATGACAGCACTCTCTCAGTTTTTGTTTATATTTAATGGGCCGACATTTGACCACTATCTCGCTATATACATATTAGTTCCAGTATTAATAATGTTTTTTTCTTTTGTCCATATTAGCTTTGTTATTAATATTATAAAGAGGATATATTGGATTGTCTATTTGTTTGCACCCCTACTCTTCCCGCGGTGTCGTATACCCGACTAAGGGACTTTTGACAGAGATCGAGGAGCAGCGCTCGCTGATAAACCTGCATCTGCGGTTTCCGACCCAGCCAAGCGGGTGAGGTGGCAGTCCACTCCTGGACTACAGGTCTAACGCAGCAGTGGACTCTCATATCCGCAGCCTTCCTTACTTCTGGTTCAGACCATGGTACGGAGCGAGGGGTACTGGGATGCCGTCTCCTCCTTTTGCGAAGCAGTTATGCTAGCTAAGGAGGAGGCGGAGCGCGTGAGGGAACGAACCTCCTCACTCCCCGGCCGTCGCGAGTGACATTCCGGGCGTCGGGGATCGCGAGACGATATCCAGCCACCGTAAGCATGGGCCTGCGGACGGCGAACACGGGTGACTCGCCGCCCGACCAGAACCAGGCCCGAGCGTACGGCGCGTCGCGTTCCGCGCGCGCCTCAAAGAGCCATCAGACCACCACGGATGGGGCCCAACAGGGCTAATGCCGATACGGAGCCACGGAAGACTTAACGGGTTGCCGGGACTCCGGCTCGAAGTGCAGGAGTAGGAACGGGGTGGTTTTTAGTCAGTAAGAGTCTGACACTCCCTCTCGCCTCACCCGGGCGGGAGAAGTCATTGGATGATTTTCCCCCCTCCAAAAAAAAAACAAAGCCTTCCTTACTTTCTTAAATGGCTGGTAACAGCACTGTAACGCCTGTAGTGTTCCGGGTGTCCATGGGCAGCGCCGATTGCTTACCATAAGGTGATCCGTCTGCTCGTTTACCGCTCAGTTGCAAGATTCCACTTGACAAACACACACACACACGTACCTACATACATTGGAAGTTATTAAAGCTTGTAAAAAAGCGAGCAAAACCATATACTTTCACTTGTTAAGTCTTTATTTACATATAATAATGCACAGAGCTTATCTTCCTCGCCGCATTTGGCAAGCATGCACCACTGGAATTCCCATTTTGAAATTGTAATACAAGCGATAGTTTGTTTTGGTAGTCTTAACACAATAATGGATGTTTACTTAAGCCAAAAATAATTTTCCTGTATTTACAATACCGTCTTTACCATGAAAGTAGTCGGGGCTCGTGCCCAGGGCCCCCATACTCAGGGCGCCCCGAAGGACCGACAGTTTCTACGACGGACACAGCCGCTACACGTTGGGCGGCAACCGCGTCCGGGTGTCATGTTTATATGAACTTGTATGTTTGCAAACGCACCCACGACACAGGAGAAAATCCTAGAGAGGGGCAACGTTATTAAAATGAAACATTCCAAGAGGGCCCTAATTACTGTATGCCCAAGCGCCCCAGCGTGGGGAGCGTCCTGCTTTGCCAGGCCGGCTCGACCGCAGTGATACCGCGGCCTCACAGTACACCGACAATTTAGACATTGCGTTGTATTCAGCTGTGTGAATGGAATTATCAAGGCTCCAATCCTTCCACCCTCATCCCCAGTCCCCAAATCCATAACATATTATTTATTTTATATTTGTTGACGTTTCAAAAGTACCAAATTATGGTTCAATTGAAATTAATGCTTTGACTTTGACTTGCTGATTCCTAAGTAATTTGTTTGTTTGGTTACAGCCGAGCCGTTGAAGCCGACCTATATGCCGGTGTTTCTGACGAAGAAGGAAAGAAAGAAGCTGCGTCGACAGAGTCGCAGGGAGGCGTGGAAGGAGGAGCAGGAGAAGGTCAGACTTGGGCTGGAAGCACCGCCCGAACCCAAACTCAGGTGAGGACAGGACTTTTAGGGGATAATTTTTTTGAATTAAAATTCGTGGGTTACTCACGTGAATATACTAAGAAAAGCTCTACTAGTTTCGAACCACAGAGGGGTTCTTTCTCATGAGCGGCGTGCGCGGTCGTGGCGATGTCGCGCAGCCTACAGACTTTTCTCAGTATATTCACGTGATTAACCCGCGATTTTTAGTTAATTTAGTATGTCTCACGATAGTTTTTATAAAAAAATATTTTTTTTTCTCAATAGATGCAAACTTCGTTTATAATCTACTGTAACACTTCTCTGCATCGCCCTGTGGTTGGCTGGTAGAGAATGCCATCCATCAGGCAATAAGCCCGCCATTGTATACACATTTGTACATAAAGTGTTAAAATAAATAAATAAAAAATAGCATCCATGTAGAAAGGTTGAATGAAAGCGGATTTACGAAAGAAGTATACAGAGCAGATATTAATGAGATTGTCGTTAGAAGGCGCCCTAGGAACCAAGACAGTTATTCATGTTCCTGGGTCGCGCCGGAGTTCAGTGTTCCGGTGTTTTCATTGTTGTATCTACTGTAGATCCTGGCTTACAGGAGTTGCAGCGGTTTTGGGAGGTTGTGGCTGGCTTGTCCTATTAAAAGGGGGCCCTAAATTCGGGGATTCGGGGATTTGGGGTAATTTGGCCTCAGCTAACCGACTCACTCACACGACGAAATACAACGTAAGCGTTGTTTCACGTCGGTTTTCTGTGAGGCCGTGGTATCACTCCGGTCAAGTCGGCTCATTCGTCCCGAAGCATGGCTCTCTCCCACACTTAAAACTGGTTGGAACTTGAGTTTGAAAAATTAAGTTTATCAGAGAACGCTGCAGTCCTATCTTTATTAAACATGTATTCCTTTAGTTGGGTGTACGACACCCACTGGAAGGTGGTGACGAATCTAGTCGACACTGATATCACCACAATATTTTACACTCTTGCAGGATATCCAACCTGATGAGAGCTCTGGGCACGGAGGCTGTCCAGGATCCCACTGCCATCGAAGCAAAGGTTCGGGAGCAGATCGCCAAGAGACAGAAGACTCATTTGGAGGCGAACAAGGCGCGAGCTCTTACGAAAGATCAGAAGAGAGAGAAGGTAAGCTATCCACTTTATGAACACGGTTTTAGTAGGACGACCTGTACAACTGACTGCGGTACTCAGACATATTTAATGCCTAGGTACTTAAACTATTCCTTAGTTACGATTATCTGTTCTGAAAACTATTGGGTAGACGACTTATTTCTATTTCAATGTCCGTCTGGTAGATTATTTTAAAACATTACACACGTGTTTTTTATTTTCTTACAGAAACAAATTCTTTCGACGATATATTGATTTGAAATGTCGCGTGACGTCACAATGCGCTACATTTTGTAGCACGTTGTGACGTAACGACCTCCCACTTCTAAACTTAACGAAATTTATTCGAAGTAACTTTATTCTATATATTAAGTGTGGAAGAGCCATGCTTCGGTTCGAATGGGCCGGCTCGGCCGGAGTGATACCATGGCCTCACAGAAAACCGACGTGAAGCAACGCTTGCATTGTGTTTCGTCGTGTGAGTGAGGTTACCGGAGGTCCAATTACCCTCCCCTTCCCCAATCTCCCCAATCCCCAACGATCCTCAAACTTCTAATCCCCAAAAGGCCGATAACGCAGTTGTAACGCCTCTGGTATTCCAGGTGTCCATGGGCGACGCCGATTGCTTACCATTAGGTGATCCGACTGCTCGTTTACTGGCTTATGCCATAAAAAATACGTGTCTATTATTATTTCATTATCGAACCGACCGACGGATTTATTAGATTTTTTATTTTTATCCCTTGGCAACTACCCTATTGTATGTATATTAAATGACAATTCAATATTATGGTATGCACAGTTTGTGTGGATTTCCATATGTATATTTGTGACTCCTTCACACAAAATTACTGAACAGATCTGAGAAAAGTTTTACACAGAGATAGACTATAGTCTCGTCCTCTTTCGAGGGTGCTCGATTATTTTCCAAATACACTGGGGTTCTTACATCAAATGACATTGATTATTGTTAATTCTTTTTTTATTTCATTCCAGGTCGACAGAAAGATCAGAGAAGATACGTCTATGGGCGTACATGTAGCTGTTTTTAGGTAACATATATTTATTTTTATTAAACACTATACAGATTTTTTATTGCAACGTTGGAGTGTAACGTGTCGCGGGTTCGATTCCCGCACGGATCCATTTGTTTGTGTGATCCCTAAATTGGTTAATTTATCAGTAGTAGCACGGAGGCTGGAATTGTGCCCGGTATATGGCAATAAGCTCGCCCCCTATTTACATGGGACTCATAACATAAATAGTGAAAAGTGGGTATTACATTATACAGTGGCATTAACCTCTCGCGCGCCTCTCGTACACACAGGTAAATATTTTAATAGAAAAGCGAATTAACTATTCTGTTCAATCAAATAAAGAACGGGTTGCAAACTTGAAAATATACGTCACAGAAAAAATATCCCATCGGTGCGCGTTTCTCGTACACCCGTGTGATCAATTGCGCGATGGGCACTCCACTCTCTCGTACACCTGCCTACAAAGGCGTGATGTGTGTTGCAGGGTGAAGGACCTGTTCGAGTGCGCGTCGGCCAAGTTCAAGGTGGAAGCGAACGCGGCCCAGCTGCACATGTCGGGCACCGTGCTGCTGCACCGCGGCTGCTGCGTCGTCGTCGTCGAGGGGGGGCCCAAGCAACACGCCAAGTACAAGAGGTCAGTATGGATATATTCAAACGTTATTTAAATTATTTACTTAAATTTCTTCTCGTTGCCTGCCTCGTTGGCCGAGTGGTCGCAATTGCGACTGCCGTGTAAGGGGTCTCGGGTTCGATTTCCGGGTCGGGCAAAGTATTACTGGGTTTTTAAAAAATTCTCAGTAGTAGCACGGAGTCTGGAACTGTGCCCGGTATATGGCAATAGGCTCACCCCCTATTACATGGGACTCATTACATAAATAGTGAATAGTGGGTGTTACATTGTACAGTGGCATAATGTGCACCTCTGCCTACCACTTCGAGAATAAAAGCCGTGATGTTATGTTAATGTTAAATTTCTCATTTGGTGTCTAAGGACTCCGGTCAAGCTCGAAACTAATCGAACTGCCTCGTAACATTTCACAAACATTCTCTAATTGACTGATTACTTATTCCAGACTGATGCTGCACCGTATAAAGTGGGAGGAGGACATGGTGAAGGACGCGGAGGGTAACGAGGTCCCCAACAGTTGTAGCCTGGTATGGGAGGGAATCGTCAAGCAGAGGGCCTTCGGAGATGTCAAGTTTAAGGTATACAACTAATGTCGTTGTGTGTTTGTACGGATGTATGTGTGTCTTTCATGAAGTGTGTAATGGCAGTATGGGAGAGCCATGCTTCAGCATGAATAGGCCGGCTCGACCGGAGTGATACCACTAACAAGCAGAAAACCGACGTGAAACAACGCTTGCGTTGTGTGAATGCGGTTACTGGAGGGCCAAATTACGCCCCCTCCCCAATTTCTTCAATCCTTGAATCCCCAACAATCTGTTAATACTTAATCCCCAAAAGGTCGGTAACGCACTTGTAACGCCTTTGGTGTTCCGGGTGTTCATGGGCGGCGCCGCTTACCATCAGGTGATCCGTCAGATCGTTTACCGGCCTATTCCATTTAAAAAATATTGAAGAAATTCCTAGACAAATTTTAATATAATTGACGTTATAAATTTCCTCCTATGCCTTTTAGAGACCGGCGTGATACTACCGCAGCGTGGTCTCACCCCTGTACATGTGTGGCCGTGGCACTCCTCGAAGCAGTGCCGAAGCTTGAAAAGCATTGTAACCTTTGTTCCAGGTGATGCCGACAGAGAAACAAGCTCGGGAGCATTTTCAGAAACATCGCGTAGAACATTATTGGGACCTTGCCTACAGTGGCGCCGTGCTGGCGCCCACTGACGAACCTTAGCGCCCTGTGACCAAGCCTGGCGCCTTCTGATTAACTCTAGCGCCCAATGACCAATATTGGCGCCCAATGACAAACCCTGGCGCCCACCGACCAACACTAGCGCCCTAGCCTGTAAAGCGCTAATTAATATAATAATAAATAAATACGTTAAAACTAAACCACTTGAAGTTTTGTTATTTTCTATAGCATTAGTTAAACGGTTTCATTTAGCGTGCCCCGTGTGTTTGTCTGTGTCTGTAGTAATTGTAATTTCGCCCCCTTCCTGGCGACAGATCGATCTGATATTTGGTACACACTCTTAATCTTGATGACCATACAATATAATCTAATTGTTTCCACAACTACCTCCATTATGGATATCAAACGACACGGCTTGATTGGTAGAATAAAGCTCATTGAAACCGTTGAACATAAAACATAAATTTTATTTATTTAAATCACCTCATTGTAACAGGTTACACCCAATGCGACAATGTTGTCACTCAATATAAAAAACTTATAATTAACATTGTTATAACACAGCCATATTAATTGGGTAGTTTCCTAAAATAAATAATTTTGATTTTTTTTTTAAGTTTAATTTAATTGTATTGTTATAGTATAATTAAAACTAAAATATTTACACCTTAAAAATAATAATAATGAAGGAATAATAAGGCATCAAAGAAAATATTTTCCTCATCGCTACCGTGAGGTAGGGTGCCCAAAAGACTGGCAGCATTGCCACGTTGAATGGCAATGCTTAACCTTTGCCCAAGGTAGTAGCCAGCCCTTCGATCACCTGAAGTGTCAACCATCCTCCTTACAATATCTTTGTAAAGAAGATGTGCACTTGGCCCCCACGGCCCTAAAGTTTCAACCCCAAACGGTTCGAAAGCATAATTGCCAATCAGGCTATTATACTTTCGCCGTTTGAGGTCCTCGGCAGCGGCAGCGGCAGCACCGGCTCGACACGCTGAGCTTGGAAGATGGGATGGCGCCAGAGTATCAACGC